CGAGCTTTCGCTCTCCTTGATTCTATGAAAAATAACCGATCTGTCACTGTGATCAGCCTTCGATTTCTCGACTACTTTTATGGGGGCAGGATTTCCTCATATACCGTTGTCTTGTTTTTTTCTTACAACCTGTACCCATTCGTCAACGTTGTTTGGAGAGGCAACCACAGTCGCATCACACATACTGCAGGATTCCGGAGGGTTGTCGACGACTTTAGAGGTCAGGTTATGTGTCCCGCTAGAAGCCGATCAAGCCTTGCGATTGCGGCTTCTATGTGTTTCCTTCTGGATAACATTTAGAAGACTCGGGGCAGAAGAACCTTCTTTTCTTCAGTTTTTAGTTAGGACGGACCTCTTTGAAGACTGTTCTTCCTCTTTTGGTCAGTGCGAGCCAGCTGTTTCCGAGATCACATGAGTTTGCTTCACGCCAGAGCGACAGAGCGAGTACTTGCTGATGTGTCCCGACCACGCTTGCCAAAACACTTTTTTGCAACATTTACCAATGAGATGGCCTCGGTTAGCAAGCTGTTAGCATCAGAACAGCACTGTTGACAAAGCCACACGAAACCATTTCTGTTGAACTGTTTGAAAGCCGCAGGCGTTAAATTTCTGCGAACTTTGTGGTACCAGCCTTTGCACTCATCGCGCTGTATGCCGCTTTCAACAGAATAACGACAGCCCGGACGTTGGCGATTGCTTTTTTGTACTGTCCACTCATTTAAACACGGGTCTTTTTTTAAAAAAGAACTAGATGCAAAAACACTCAGAGACAAAAGTGATCCATGAGCAAAAAAAGTGGAAAACTGAAGTGACAAACCAAAGACAAAAGAAATCAAAATGTCCGAAAATAATGATATAAACAAACAAGTCCAGAAGTTGAGTAAAACAAATACATCTCAAAAACACAGTAAAAATAATAATGTACAATATAAATGTTGTAATCAGCCGAATGTCTTTAGTTCTCCCGTAACAATGTGTCTTTGTAACTTTTCCGTAACGTTAAAGTCCTTTCAGGTGAATGAAATGATGTAAACGTCTTCTCTTAGAGGTGAAGACGTACATATATAAGGCATCTGGAGTAGCTCTAGGATGTGTAACTCGAGATTCTTGCGAATGAAGTGGAGTAATGAATATGCTTCACCTACATCTCCTGTGTACTTGACTTTGGGACCTAGGTAGCCAACCTAGTTCACACTCTGTGTGTGGATTTGAGAGTAGGCAATCACAAAAAGCGTAGGCTATCCGTTGTGCTGTTTAAGATTGTATGTTTACCACTCGGCATTTTGGCCGGTGAATATGGGTCAGTTATCCTTTGTTGATTTTCCTTGTGATGTAAGGTCCCTTTAAAGCTCCTACAAGTCCTACTCTCTTTTATTGACTCTTCGGAGTTTTATGTCATCAGTGTAAATGAAGGTTGGCTAGCTCAGTATCTTCGATAGGTCATTTATTGGGGTCAAGAAAAGAGAAGTAACAAAATGGTACTTTGTTAAACTCCAGATTTTAAAGTAATCCCGTTTTTATGAGCTTGTAGATTATAGTCTACTTTGATATCAGTACTACTATAATACTAGACCTGATCTTAAAATTGTAGATTTGTCATAATGCAACTGTCTAATTTAAAAGATCTTACGTGAAAGTCACATCATTGTCTACATTGACTCATCGTATCGTAACAGTAATAAATATATGATGGAGAACACATCCATGCTGGAGATAGAACAATATATTTAGTATGAGTAAAAGATACGAGGTAACATTCAACAGGGACCACACCTGAGAGGCCGAGCCATGCCATCTGATGGACTCGAATCAATTCAACTCTTTCTTGCCGCCTTCTCCATGGCTGGTTTTTTCTTCACGTTTAATGTTGAATATCTATTTTCTCAGTTGTCTCGTTTTCAGCTTTGATGATTTTGTGGTTAGGGCCCAATGCCAGTACACTACTCTCTCATCAGAATCAACGTGATGTTGGTTCGATACCAAATTGGATGGCATTGTCACGCGACGGAGGTTATCAAGAATAATAAGAATCCTCCGGGTATTGACAATCTGAAAGATTAATCAGAAAGAAGTCGGTATTAACTGATAGAGTAATACATGTAATAATTATGAAGTTTCTGTTTTAATACATAACATGCTTATAATGAAAATCTGCATGAACATTATTTATACGTCAAGTATGGCAGGATTATTAAAATGAAAAACGATTTAGTATTGGGATATTTTAACAGGCCACATAAATATAAACCTATGGTTAATGGCTCAAGTTGTAGGCCGTATAAGTAATTTAAAAATGTTTGGCTTTATTCTTAACATGCCAAAAAACAAAGTCTATGTGAAGGTTGTACAGGAGTTCATTGAAAAAAATCGGACTATAAAAATCAAGGACGATTTCGTGTTTTTATGTCACTACAAGCTCACTCATCGACCAATGATTATTCATTATTTGTGTATCGAGAGAAATGCTACTAGCTGGTGACGAAGATTCATTTTATCCGGTCTCCTTTAATAATTGGCATATTGTCCGCCAACTTTGAATTGTTTCAGGCCTTAACTAGGCTTAGAGGATTTGAAAAATTACACTAATTTGTGTCGCCAGAATGAACCACATCCAGATCATTAGAAATGCACTTGTTTGAATGCTGGAGTCTCTGGTACATCAGTCCGGTGCTCCGGTCCATTGCTGAGGCTCCAGTTGAGTTGCGGGGGAAGCTCTAGTCGAAGCACTTTTTATGTGACGATTTAAGTGTTTGAAAATATTTTTTCCGACAAGGGCTTAGTGGAAAATCTGTCGATGTTGGCAGGGCCATAAGGACCTAAAAACCAGGATCCCCTAGTTTAGGCTTGTTGAATGCGGCTCCATAATGAAATGAGTTTTTCGAAGGGGAAGAAACCTATCAACTAGCTTGATCTGATACTGGTGGCTATCTTCTGTCGCTTTCGTGCATTTGTTTCTTGCTTTGTTAGACTACCTGTGTGTGCTGTCGTCACTGATTCGTTTGTATTCAGCCCAGTAGCACATTTGGAGTCTTAGCATTCGATAACTTCGATTCTCGTAGTTCTTATGGACCGTTTGCCCGAAAGACTTGTCTGTAGCACGTAAGGTCGTGTGCAGTTAAAAATCCCGATGGACCTCCAAGACTTGTGGGCAGACATCCCATTTCACATGCTTTTTACTCTCTTGTAAATCTGATACATCAAAACGTTTGAAACTCCACGGCTTGTTATCGGTGTGATACTGTAGCTCAGTCATGCTAAAAATAATTGAAGGCTATGACTGTGGGATCGCTTTTTCTCAGGGTAGCTAGGATTAGGAACCCGTCAACTGGGATTTCCTTTGAGAAGATTAAAATCTAGAGTCAAGATATACGTCCGTCCTCCAGAACACTTACAGTACTCGTCGTCAGCAGTAGGCGTCTCGCAGATAACTTCAAGTAAATATCTCGAGGGGATAGACGATATTACTGAGCACCATACAGGATTATTAAGAATGATTAACTTGTTCTTCTATCCTTGAGGGACAGATGCATGCCAGGTATTGCAAGCTCATGGTCTATAATCTAAGAAGATGACCATGTTTCAGATATCTCCATTGTATAATCAGTCCACGCAACTCACTCATTTCGTTCGGGAAACTACCAGCACACATATATAGGTTGCTAATCTTTTTCATTTGAAATCCGTGATCTTACCCGTCTTGTTTAGTCTGAACGAGCCTTATACGAACGAACAGCTTACTTACCTGTACATGGTTTTCCGAATGGGTAGTCCCTACCCCCCACTACATTGTCCTTTGTTCTCGGCAATCCGTAAGTGAAGTAGTCAGTTCTAGTTTGGTTTTGTGCATAATCCTTGGACCATGTGGCCTGTTTGGATGCATATGGATTCCAGATAGTAACTGGTGTCTGTTGACACGAAATTCTTCAAAAGTAGCAGTGACCGTTTGGGTGATGTGAAATTTATTCTTTATATACCGTAATCTGGAATCTTCGTCCGTCTCGTCTAAGTGTACCACACTATGTTCTTAAGCTCCAGAGACTGCTTTGTGAACTTTTACGGTATAATATAGTAGTCTTTTTAATCAGAATCCTTTTTTTCTGGAACACCTTGCACAATGATACGTCTCCCGCGATTCCCCTATGATGTTTCTTGTGAGATTGTACTCAAACTATATTGTATCAGGCACTACCCTGGCATCTGATCCCAGCAATTGACTGTGCAGAAGAATATCCTTTACATCAGCAGTGTTATTGGGCGTTACACGGAGGATGGAGAATCTTAGGTACCATATTTGCATCTATAGGGTATACGTTAGGGGGCCTAAGTTAACCAAAAGATCACAACACCACAAGTGTTATGATGGTGTTGAGTTTCAGAACATCCTCATTGTTGTTGGAGGTTGTTCCGTCAATACTAGTATTGTTAAAGACACTTTTCTTTATCCCACTATGAGTCTTCGTTTGTTTATCCGTTTCAGGAATGTATTTTTTCAGGGTTGTTAACGATGTTAGTCAACAAATTTATTATGATTAGAAGTATTCGAGTCACTGTTCTGATGAGAAATTTCCGAAATAGTACAAAAACAAACCAAACAGAACTAAGTGAACACAACCGAACGTATTATATTCGGAAGTCAAACTCAGCTAGCCATGAGGTACAAAAGAATCACTATCATTATTATCGTTGCGAAGGGAAGCACATTCTCAATGAATTCGAATTAACATCACTGATTGAGTGTGAGTGTCATCGCGTATACAGAATCATTTAACGAAGTAAAGGTATGGTATATGATTGTGGCTGAAAAATTTAGATTTGTGTTACTATTAGTCATTGACTCGCTTTTTCTACTGCTTATCTCTCTTTTATCTCACCTCTTTAACGTTGTTTTTATGCTTAAACGGCGTCAAAAGTACCTTCACGCTAGACAAGAACCCTTAAACAATTCTTACGATACACCTGCAGTAAAAACGTTTGTTTACAATATTCGAAGGTTACTTCGGCGGGTTGTCAAGGTCGCTTGTTGGTTGGCGATATTCGGTTTGCTATCTGTTTACGAAATCGACTTGCGTTTAATTGCAGCCTGATTAAGAATCCGCTGTCGTCATGGCACAAAAACGCCGTAAAGATTTAGCTATTCCGGATACAGAATGTGATGGCTGCCACTTGGATCTTCTTCAAAACGATCGGAAAACAAGGTAATTGTTGTAGAGATGACAAATGTTTTCAGGTTGCTTTCATGCTCTAGCATTACGTATAAGGATTTGGTAAGTCATGTATCAATAAACATGCGCAATTAAAGTTTGGACTCGCCACTTCTAGCGAGATTTTTCTTCTTTTCTCCGGGTTGTCACTTTCCGTTGTTTTCGGCGCTGCATTTCCTGTATCCATACTAGTCTTCCGCTGGATTGTCAATGACATTACAAGAACTGTTGATGTTTCATACGTAGAAATATACCGCGCGTCTGTTTGGCTTGCAGTTATTGCGGTTAGTGCCTTTCTGATATCCTTTGGTCAAGTATGGTTCACAAACATCTGTGCTTCACGTGTTGTAAAACGTATCAGGCGACTTCTAATCCAAGTATGATCTCCATATTGAATCTAATTGCGTTTTATGTTCTCGCTCGTTAACGTTCTTCATTGTAGGTTGCTTTGTAATGCCTCGATTTCGGAATTTTAAGTGTTTCTTTCCTTAGTTTGCTAAACTATTAATTTAGAAATCAACTATAATATTTTTGTGTATAGTTGTCTAGGTATTCCAAAATTTATGTAAATTTCAAGTTCAGATTACTGTGTTGAGGACATAAGTCTTACAGCCCGTATTAGTCCTTCTCGTGTAAGCTTCTAAGTGTCTAGTTTTCTCTTGAATTAGTTGATTGAAGGTGCGGATTCCAATTCTTCAAGTAACAGGTTCCAAGTGTTGATCACTCGTTGTGAAAACCTGTGTGTCACTGGCATTTTGTTCGTTCTTAGCTTTTTAATTTACCTGTCATATCCTATGGGTCTTACTAATCTAGGAGAAAAAAAACGAAAAGAGAGGATATGTCAGGTCCAAAATCATTTTTTAGTATTCTGTACATCGAAACCAGATCACCTCTTAATATGTGGTAGGAAAGAGTAAAGCGGTCTAGCTTCTCAAGTCGCTCAGTGTATGATGAACTTCGGAGTTCTGGGATTCCATGTGTAACTGCCTCTTCTACTTGCTCCAAGATATCCGAGTCACCTTTTAAATAGGAGTTTGCAGTCTGAAGACAGTTTTCTAATTTAGATTGTTGTTTTTACCATGGTCAACACATGAGTTCTCAACTTAGTAAATGTCCCTCTTAAATCTCATTGGGTTCTAAACCCCTTGTCTGCAACTGCGCAACAGTGGATTGACTTAAGATGCTGGCTCACTGTTACCCCAAGATCATTGGGACCAGACTATGGGCACCAACTCTCCCTTTATGTTGTACCTACTTACCTTTGAATCCCCAATATGGGTGTAGACACGTTTTGCCGCGTTGACAGGTATCGTTCATGTTTTAGACCAGCAAACCAGAACGTCCAAGTCCGCCTGAAGTGCACATGCATTTGCATTTCCTGTTATTTCTCGCCAAATGTTTACGTCAGCGTGAAGTAGCATCTGAGACTCAACTATACTTAGTAGTTCATTTACATACAGTATAAAAGGCAAAGGGTCTAGAACAGAGCCTTGGTGTACTCCACTAAGTACCGCCTTCCAGGAGCATTTGGAATTTATTCTTCCGTCTGCGCCCTACCAGGAAATCTCTGATCCACGTTAGGGGAGGTCCGACAATTCTTGGATTTTCCGACTTCCGGACCTCATCAAGTGCCTCATTTGAATATATATTTGGTGCCCCCTTGTACCAACATTTATGTGTTCAAATAAATAAATAACACTCCTGTAATTAAGTTGAGAATTCAGTGGCTCTTTCTTGTTCTGTAATTCATGTGCGAGGAAAGTCTCTTCGGCTGCCTAATTACAGATTGTGAGAACTGCTCGGATTGCGCTTGTACACTTGCTTCGGGCCGACCTGTAGCGTTCCATTGTATTTGTTATGCCTAGGTTGACGTCAACTTCCCAATATTTTTTCTTTTGCCTTATTAAACGTCTAATATTCCGTTTTATCTAGGGATGACTATGTTTTTCTTCCCTTAGGACTGTGCAGGGTGTATATGGTTGAGTTACTTGATTATATAACTGCCTGAAATGAGTTCATGTCAATATTACCAATGCACCGGAGTCAATTTTCTAGTTTTTAGTGAAGACTGCAGAATTGGTAGCCTCCATATGTTAGGACGAGTCGGCACACCGCTTGGAAGACCACATCAACCATGATCGTAAATAAAATGACAGCATGATCACCTCTCCTTATCAGTTAAAGGAACTTTATTTGACTGATATTATCACCGTGTCCAAGACAGATAAGGAATTTCGTAGGTCATATCTGGTGAAGTCTCTAGTGTACTGGAATAAAGTTAGGGCGATTGTGGTTTCTAACAATTTGTAATCAAATGATTCTTTTGATGACCTTGCATTTAAGTTTTCCCAATTTACGGAAAGTCCATTAAGGTCACCTACTATGAGGCTTTTAAATCTGTTTGACTAAGATTTATTTAGGATGGTGTCATCCAATACCTATTCTGGACTGCGGTATACTACAAATAATTTAATTTCCTGCCCTTTGCATTTCAGACAACAACGCGCCAGTTCACATGTCTGTGAGTTGTGTGTCACTGTCTCGATAGCTCGTATGGTTAAGGTGCCTCTCATATACAGGATAACCTCACCTACAGTTTAGTCTGTCAACCCTACTAAATACGGAACCAAACAATTGAATTTCACTATCATACACTTCTGACGTTAACCGTGTTTCTGAGACGGTAAAGATATCAAGATTTTCTGTTCCCACCACGCTTTGAGCTCCGCCACTTTGTTTGGTAGGCTTCAATCATTTGTATACCGTACCTTTAATTCTGCGAAATGCTTTCCCTTACCACCCAAATGGTTTGGGTATGGTTTTGCTCCAAACTTTTGCAATGTAAAGACCCTTAAGTCTGAGTATTTTTCACCGTTCCGACAGTGCTCATTTATTTCTGCTTCTGCCGATCGTCTCAATACGATCAAACAGCCGGTTTACGTGAATTTCCCAGTATTAGGTTTCTTTCCTCAGTAAAAACAAAATACACTTCTAAAAGGCGGCTTGCCTGTGTACTTTTACAGTTCGTTTTTTGTTCTGTTCTGTAAAGCTTATGAATACTAACTCCTGCTGCTGTTTCCAGGAGTAGGTTGCTTATTAAGGACTTAGTATATCTTAGGTCGTGTGTCAAACCTAACCCTTAACCTAGAAAACAATTACTGACCGTTTTGTGAGATCTGCTTTGACAAACTTTGACGTTTTGTTTCCCAAACTCTCCTCCTTTCTACAGTCCTAGTTGGCAACATATGTGCGATGTTTACTTTTTTGCTTGATTTTCTAAGGACCACTGTAAGCCAGTCATTAAGCTTATTTCGTTTATTATTTAAATCCACAAGGTTCAGGCTTTGCTTCTACATAATCTTTTTCTGCGTTGATACGGTGTGTTGTAACTGAAGCTGACGACTCACATATTTTAGAGATGTTGGGGATATCCAGAAAACTCGAAAAAAGCCTCTGAAAAGCGTCTTATTCAGTCAGCACTCCATAGACGTTTTGCCAGAAAAATTTAGAAAGTGGAAAGTCATGTGTCGAATTTCTGATCGGATGATTACCTGTACTGTTACTATATTTGGTAGCGTTCCAGAATTTTCCGGAAACTTAAGGCCATTTATTTATTATTTATTTATTTTATTTTAACACATAGATATCGGTACAAAAAGGCACCAAATACATATGCGCCACACAGATCTCATTTGATATGTGTGAGGGCTGTGATACTGCCCGGGTGCCCAAACCGAAGCAGGTGGTTTTCTTAGGGGGCCACACCCCGAGCCTTCGACCTGAAGATCTGACCCACAAGGCAGTGGAGCATCGTAAGGAGATGCAGTCCCATAGTAGCCGGTGACCAACGATTGGTTCATACGCCATTTATTCCCTCAGGATACTGGAGCCCATGTGCACCATTGGTTTGGGGTCCGTTTATAGCGCTGGACATTCGCTTTTCATCCTCTCATTTTCGTAAACAACACCCCCACCACGAGAAGGCAGTGAGTAGGAATTCCCTGGCAGAGGCTGTATACGCGTGGCCGTGTGAGAGTATTTCGAGAGGGAGGGCGAACCCTCCCCACTCTCGGCCATACCAGGGCATTTGGGGGCCATTTAAAATATTATAAATCCCCAGATTCTCTGTACATAAAGGAACCTTGGACCAAAGCGTTTCTTCCATATTTCGAGATAAGAGCCATTTGCTTGCTGACTAGACGGACTAGTCTATCAACATTACTTACGCCTGTTACTCCTAATGGAGCATAGGCCGCCGACCAGCACTCTCCAACCCACTCTATCCTGGGCCTTCTTTTCTAGTTCCATCCTATTCTTGTTCATTTTTCTCATATCTATCTCCATTTCTCGGTGTAATCTGTTGTTTGGTCTTCCACTCTTCCTTCGACCTTGAGGATTCCATGTGAGGGCCTGTCTTGTGTTGCAGTTCGGTGCTTTCCTCAGTGCGTGTCCTATCCACTTCCAGTGCTTCTTCCTGATTTCTTCCTCCACTGGGATCTGATTTGTTCTCTCCCACAGTAGGTTGTTGCTAATAGTGTCCGGCCAACGGATCTGAAGTATTCTGCGTAGACAACTGTTAATAAACACCTGTATCTTTTGGATGATGGCTTTCGTGGTTTTCCAGGTTTCCGCTCCATACAGTAGAACTGTCTTGACATTTGTATTGAAAATTCTGACCTTGGTGTTGGTTACTAATTGTTTTGAGTTCCAGATATTCTTCAGTTTTAAATATGTTGCTCTTTCGCCGATCCGTGCCTTCATATCTGCATCTGATCCACCCTGTTCATCGATGATGCTGCCCAAATATGTAAAGGTTTGTACATCTTCCAAATCTTCTCCGTCAATTGTGATTGGATTGTTGCATGCTGTGTTGTATCAGAGAATCTTGCTTTTCGCATTGTGTATTTTGAGACCTATTGCTGCTGAAGCTGCAGCTACACTGGTCGTTTTCTCCTGCATTTGTTGTTCGTATGCGATAGAAGAGACAGATCATCTGCTCGCTAAAAAACGCTAACCAGAAAAAAACGTCTATCAACATAAAGATCCACAAACTCTTGTTTGCTTTTGTCGTCTTTTTATCTGTAACTTGGATTATCAATTAAGATTTTCACATTTCAAAAATGTATGTACATCAATACATAACATAAATACTTAGAGAAACGAAGAAATTCCAATGAGATGAGATTTTTCTTATTTAGGAGAAGTCAATGGAGAGGGCGCATCACTTATGTATCAGGATTGTAAAAGTGTATTTCACAATTGATCCTCTAAGATGAAGTGAGTAGGAAGAATGACTGTAAACTCTAACTCCGTTCTTTGAAGAACAACTAGATATGGTATTCATTGAAACATACCGACTAATTTTGATAATGGTAATGTGCTTTCAGACACACTAACAGATACAGACTGAGACGTTTTAAGTGTTTTAAAAATAAGTATGTCATTCATTTATTCTTGAGTGCTGTTAGAGGTATGAGGGAGGTTGTCACTTCCCGGTTGCCCACACCGTGGAAGGGTTCTTCTGGAAGTACCTGAAAAGAAAATTGGATTAGAGGTTGTCTTAGTGACCTGAGAGCGTGACCGCAGTGCCCAAGGGACAGCTGCTTGAGGTTGGTCACACACGACCTTATGAGTAATTTTTGTGTTAGCTCCGTACTTGTTGAGACCTTACCGCCGGAGACGGATATCCGTGGGATAAGGCGAGGTGTGTATTTTTAGGGTCGACTTTTTCTAACCCCACCCCTCCTTGTGGGAAGGTAGCATTGCTGTTATGCTGATTGTCTGAAGGAAACACCTTACTGCCATCACACCTCTGTACTATAAACAGTACGACTTCGCCCTCGGATCTTAGATTTGCTGCTTTTAGTGTTACCGCTCTTCAACCGACCTGTCTGGCATGGTGCGACCTTGAGGAACGATTGTTCCAGCCAGTATAGCCCGACTGGTTTATCACGATAGGCAAAACCGACCACTACGTCAAGGTAGCGGCAATGGCCGGGACACATTACATGACATTCTATTTAGTTAATTATTCTGAGTTTTACTCTGGAACATGCTTACTTTGTTACAATTGCATCCTTAATTTTTAGTTAAACAGTACTTATCCTGTTCAATTCTGTTTTATTAAAGTGTATTGTTTTTTTGTGGTATTTATTAAATAACAAAATTGTCTAACCTTATTTTCACTAGATTTCGGTCACCAAATCACACTTCTCAATCGATCTATACTCTAACTTAACAAAATCACCTGACTATATACTTCCCCAAGTTTTTATTTGAAGAGATTTGTTCTTTTTTAAAAACTAACATCCATCAGGAAGTTAGTTTAGAAAATAAATATTGTCAAATAAGCAAAAAACTTTGGAAGCGTTGGTTGGAACAGATATAGAATATACCCAACCACTGTCTAACTAGACTCACGTTGTTTTTCGGTGTAGGAGTATATTGGAAAAGGTTGTGAAGGGGGTTAATCATTACGTGGGATTAGTCCATGAAGTCACTAAGTGTCGGTAGATGCAGACTGGTATGTTGAGGTTCGCTCTATTATCGTGACCAATGGTTGGAGACGCGAGTTTACATGATTCAAAATCGCTAGCACTCAGTCAGATAAATTCACAACTTGTCCTAATATATTTACATTGTTATTACAATTATTACATACTTTCGCCTGTTACCCCTCATGGAGTATAGGCCGCCCAAGCAATCTCCATCTAACTCTGTTCTGTGGAGTCCTTTCCAGTTGTTATCCATCGTTTTAATGCCTGCTTTCAATTCTCGGTCCAGTGTGTTCTTTATTTTAACACATAGATATCGGTACAAGAAGGCACCAAATACATATGCGCCACACGAATATCAATTGATTTGTGTGAGGGCTGTGATACTGCCCAGGTGCCCAAACCGAAGCAGGTGTTTTTCTTAGGGGGCCACACCCCGAGCCTTCGACCTGAAGATCTGACCCACAAGGCAGTGGAGCATCGTAAGGAGATGCAGTCCCATAGTAGCCGGTGACCAACGATTGGTTCATACGCCATTTATTCCCTCAGGATACTGGAGCCCATGTGCACCATTGGTTTGGGGTCCGTTTATAGCGCTGGACATTCGCTTTTCATCCTCTCATTTTCGTAAACAACACCCCCACCACGAGAAGGCAGTGAGTAGGACTTTCCTGGCAGAGGTTATATACGCGTGGCCATGTGAGAGCATTTCAAGAGGGGGAGCGCACTCTCCTCATTCTCGGCCATACCAGGGCATTTGGGTACTCCCTCTTTTCTGTTCCCATTCAGCATCCCAAGTCAGCACTTGCCTCGTGATGCAGTTTGATGATTTCCGTAATGTGTGTCCTATCCACCTGCAACATATTTGCCTAACCACCTCTTCAGTTGAATCCTGATTTGTTCTCTCACACAGCAAGCTGTTGCTGATGGCATCCGTCCAAGGGACATTCTCTATCTTGCATAGACAGTTGTTCAGCTGTCAGGGTAGTCGTTACCTTCTCTCCGTTGTTCATAAGTGCTTAGTTTATATAAAGCAAGCCTTGGTGTCTCAAAATTAGTTCTTTTCGGTTAGGTTATTTCGTATCAAAGTCTTTAGATTACGTGTAACCAAGGGTAACATTTGCATTTTATCATATCTTGTAAGCCAATCGCGCAAGAGTTCTGAACATCTAAGGAACCGGATAAATTCAAAATAATTATAATTTCTGAATAGATAAATGAAAGCAAAAAAATCTGTATATAATAATAAGCAGATATCCTTGAGCTGTTGAATCTGCATTGGTAATTGATATTTCTCACTCCTCCGTAGCGATAATAGTACTTTTAATATATACGTAAGTCAGGTAATTTTATGCTAATGAAGCTAACAGAATCCTATTATCCTACTCAATTAAACGTAAAACCTGTTTATAATTGCTGTTCATAAAAGCTAATATACTCGTTTTTGCAACTTGTCAGTCGGAATTTATCATCAACAGAAATCTTCTATAGATTACCTTCTTATAATGGTTTTATTATTTAGTCGAGTTTTTCCTCTGGTATTTGGCAGAGCAGTACAGTATGTAGTTCCCATGACTATTTTTAGTTCATTTGTCCACCTTTATGGAATTGGCTTTAGTGGAAGAAATATCGAGATAAAATCCTTCCTTCTCTGTATACTTTCAGCAGTTAAATTTTCTCAGAAACAACCGGAGATAATCTTAATTGTTGTATTATATAGCCTGTCAGTTATTGTTTTACTCATCGCCAGTCAAGCGTTTTCATATGACAAGTAATCAATTGACTTGTACGATCGTCATATCTGATAATGTAACCATTTACGGTGGTCTTATTAAGTTGATTTGTTTCTGTTTCTTTGTTTTGAAAAATATAGGTGATTTCTATTTGTATTAAACTTCATCAAATGTTTCTTTTTAGGCAGTATTAAATCAAGACGTAGCTTGGTTGGACGAACATGCCGTCGGAAGTCTCATAGATAAATTAACTGAACACACAACTAATATACATCTTGGTATTGGGGAGAAATTAAGTGAATTTATTCAGAATATTTCTAGTTTCTTTATTGGCTTCTTTATCTCATTCGCGTATGGTTGGAAGCTTAGTTTGGTTGCTTGCTCATCGTTGCCATTAGTCCTTATTGGTTTTTCTTTATTCGGTACTACTGTGAGACGATTCACTATCATGGAGCAGGATGCGTACTCAAAGTCTAGTACAATTACTGAGGAAGCTTTGAGCGCTATCCGGACAGTAATTACTTTTTCTGGGGAGAGAAAAGAAGTATTACGTTATAGCAGTAATCTGGATAAAGCTGCCGCTTGTGGTGTAAAACAGGCAGGTTGGCTTGGATTTGGTAAGACCTGTTTTTACCATATTTCTTTATAATCTGATTTTACAATCTGTTTGGTCACATAAGATAAAGTGGTTATTGGTATAGATATTTTGAACTAACACATACCTATGTCTGAATATATGGATTGAGAGAATCAAATGCAATTGTGTTTGTCATAGTTGAACTTTAAATACATATGCTTCCACAGTCTTGGCTTCGTTTGTTTCGTTACAGCCTTTCTTAAAGCATTAATTAAACTGTTGATATGGGGATTTTCTTAGCATGAGTAGTAAATTATTTGGAAAACAAAGTGATGGTCATATGTTTCCTCTGCATTTATTTTATGTAGAAACAATTATTCACCCATATAATCTAATGCTGTAGTCTTGGGGGCATGGTTTAGTGATATAACAATCGTAATTCAACTACCAAGCCCATCCAGTATTGAATTTCTACTCTGCTAAATTCCTTTTAGAATTTCTTTTATAATTTTATTTGAACACAAACTTTGGTACAAGAGGTAGCCAAAATATATGTACTCCACAAAATAAAAATGAGGTTGTGAAGAGATAGAGAATGTAAAATGCATATCATTAAAAGGAAAAACAATAGATAGAGATTAGTGTATGAGAGTGAAATAATAATAATAACAGTTAGTCTACTACAACGTAGGACCAGGCACATATGTGCATCGGTCCAAGTTGCCATACCTCATTAGCACTGCAAGATGAACACCGGCTTCACAGGAGTGGTTAAGTCAATGGTGGTAATATATGAAGGAAAGATTGCATTTAAGGATATAGTATAGGAAGATGGGATTAGTTCGTAGAATGAAAGATATGAAGCAAATTCAATCTCACAGTTTAAGGGAAGAAATAGGGTCCATACACCTACGCCATTGTGATCGATTCTGAGCCATGTCACCAAGAGTCTCCAACCATTGGTTACGATAGTCACGCGGACCCCAACCAAGTAGTCTGCATCTACCAACATGGCTCAGACCAGACGTTAGTGTCTTCAAGCACTGATGCCACTTTTTGGTTTGGCCTCACCTAACTTTCTTCCAACCATCCCTAACACCCATTAGCATTGCACATCGTGGTAATCAGTGTTCAGGCATACACAACACGTGGCCCAACCATCTCAGTCAATCAGGGTACACAACCTCACCAACTGATTTACCATCATTCCCTAATACCCTGCGTCTAACCTCACTATTACTTACCCGGTGATCCCAGCAGATACCCGCAATATTTCTAAGGCACCTGTGGTCAAATACTAGTAACTTACGAATATCTTCTACTCTTAAAGGCCATGTTTCTCAGCCGTATAGTAGAACGGAACGAACCGCCGCGCAGTAAACTCGTCCCTTAATTGATAGGCGGATATCTCGCCTTCGCCATAGATGACGTAAGTTGGCAAAGGCCAAACGAGTTCTTTGAATCCGTGCTGAGATTTCGTCACACACCAACCCATTAGAGCTGATCAGACTTCCAAGATAAGTGAAGTTGTCAACGCGTTCGACTACTACACTCCCTATCCTTAGTTCAGGTGTTGACGCAGACCAGTCCTGAAGCAACAACTTGCATTTAGAGGGAGAGAAGCGCATCCCAAATATTCTGGCATTGTTGCTCAGTGCTACCAAAAGACTCTGCATTTTATCAGCGTCTTTACCAAACAGGACTATGTCATCTGCGTATTCTAAGTCAGTAAGTGGACCTCCTGGTAGGAGATCAATACCTGAGAATTCAGTCGATGAGAGCGTTATTTCCATCAGTAGATCTATGATGAAGTTGAACAAAAATAGAGAAAGTGGACAGCCTTGACGAACACCACTTGAGGTTGCAAAAGCAGATGGCAGTTCGCCATAAGCTCTGACTCGACTGGTAGTGTTCGAATAAAGAGCGTTCACAAGGTTTAGGTGCTTCTGAGGTACACCTTTCAATGACACACTGCCATAGAATCTCGTGTTCTACGGAGTCAAATGCTGCCTTTAAGTCAAGAAAGACCACCATTGTCGGACGCTGATAAGCTTGCCTGTGTTCTATAATCTGACGAATGGTGAATATGTGGTCGATGCAGCCGCGATTAGGTCTGAAGCCAGCCTGATTTTCTCGTGTTTTCAGTCCATGAGTCTTTATTAGGCGTCCGATAATTATTGAAGCTGGTATTTTAGATGCTATATTAGTTAGACTAATGCCTCCGTGATTGTCTGAGTTACTTTCGCTCTTCTTCGTGTTCAGAGCCTGATGTGGTAATAATAAAAATAACACTAGTAATAATAATGGAAGAATCATTTCAGTTAAGAAAAATATAACCAGAAAAGATTTTTACAGTTTTAAAATTCCTTTCATTTAGATGGAGTAAAAGAAGGTTACACCAGGATCCCCATTGGCTTCTATTGTGAGACATCTGATAACGCTCCAAGCCCGTGTGTTGCGGTATCTATATGATTCTAACCAGGAAGTCTTTAAGCATCGATAAATGCCAGCCTGTACAAATTTCTTTCATACCACGACACCGTGTCATACACTGACCAGCTCTTCGTCTTTACAAACAGTCCCAACGTCAGCAAACAATGCACGATATTGAATTCGCCGTACCGACATTCGTATTACGTGTATAAGCCACTGAAGTCTGTGTTTTAAGATGATAACTGACTGAATAATCGTCGCTGTGCCCGAACACATGTTGCCAAGTCAGTCTTCTTGCGTTACTGACATAGTGCCTCCACTGAGTGTCGGCAATCCTTCGGAAACAGTAATGATCAAACACAAAGTGTCGTCTAACATCGTCAATTCGGAGTGGCCGCGTTTCACAGATATAGAGCAAAACTGCTCTCACCGACGCGTTGTAGATCCAACGTTTTATAGCCAGACTAGCATCACGAAAGCGTCAAAGATGGCCCAGATTGGCATAAGCCGCTCTAGCTTTCATCACTTACATCGTCGCCAGCATTTATGCAAGCTTCTCGACCACTATCTGCTCACTACCCAGGTTCAAGGCAGGTTCAGGGTCCTACCAGTCTTGTGGAAGTACTTAGCAGTTCGAAGGTGCAAAACACGTATTTTACCTAAGAACACTAATTGTCAGATGATTAAGTGCTAATTGCATGGCACAGTAAGACAATAACATCCGCACACCCAAGGTCGAAATTTCTCTCCTCAGGCAACAGATTCACATCACCATCACCCACACCCATCAGTACTGCTTCTAAAACGTCAATGGCAAATTTGAAAAGGAGCAGTGAGATTGGACAACCCTGTCTAACCCCATTGCTTGGATGTAACAACGGAGAGAAGTGACTGTATGCCCTCACGCTGCCTGAGGTGTTTGTATGTAGAGGCTTTTAGGATGTTAACAAACGTCTCAAGCACATCCTTCTCCAACAGACAATCTCAAAGAACAGTCCTGTTCAACGAATCGAAGGCAGCCCTGATGTCAAGAAACACTACGATTGTTGGCCTGTGATAAATATGACGGTGTTCTAACATTTGGCGGAGGTTGAAGATATGATCAATACACCATCGACCGGACTGAAAACCAACTTGCTTCTCGTGAGTCGATCTTTCCCGAGTCTTGAACAACCTACGAAGTATAACGAAAGCCAATAGCTTGGACGTAATCGGAAGTAGACTTATCCTCCGATAATTTTTACAGAAACGACGTGAACCCTTTCTAAAGATAACTGTCAACTCATTCTACGATGTCGGAACACTTTCTTATTCCCAGACGTTTGTAAACAGCTCAGACAGTTCTTCAGAAAGTGCTTCAATATTCGTAGTCAGTAGTAGCATTCAACTTCCGATCAGTCAGTGACTTAAAATCGTTTAGACATAACAGGCTTTCCTCCATACAAAATGGGAATAAAGGAATATACAAGTGACACAATGTAAAATAAAAGCGGGTAATAACAAGAAGTTTTGAGTATAATATGCGTGAATGGGAATTAAAGCGTGAATAGTTTTTCTTGTTGTAGCCATCATTTAGTTTGTGTGTGGGTTGGGATACTTCCCGGGTGCCCAAACAGATGCAGGTAGTCTTCTTTGGAGGGCCACTCCCTTAGCCTTTAACCTAGAGGTCTAACCCACAACAGAATGGAGCAACTTTAGGTGTTGCAGTCCTATGGTCGTCGGTGACCAACAATAGGTTCATGCGCCATTCGTTCCCTCAGGATCCTGCAGCCCATAAGAACCATCAATTTGCAATCTGGGTTTTCAAGCCTCTTAGAAGAATTCTCCGTGCCCACCAACCCAGTTAAACTCCCGGTCACTCGCTTTTCGTCCTCTCAATCACGTAGACAAGACTTTCTCGCAAGAAGACCTTGAGAGTAGGACTTAACTAGCAGTGGCCATGTACGCGTGTCCATATGAGACTATTTCGAGAGGGGGAGCAAAGTTTCCCCACCAGGACATTTGGGACCAAATGTTGGACAGTATGGCTACTACCCACAAAATATGTAGCTGATAACTGGGTATACGAAGCCGAAATTTGTTTTGAAATACATTGCATCAAGCTCTTATTGCAGTCATAGCTTGACAATATCTGTATGTGAATAATTAGTTTCGGTTACGCAGTGAACAATTTTCGTAGAGTGTTTTGACTGCTAATGAAAATCACATTGTGATCATTTGATGTGAAATTTTATTCGATAGTTTTAATTCTATCATAGAAGGAACTCGAAACGTTGAAGTCAGTTTCCATCATAATTTCCGAGATAACTTACAAATATAATTTCTTGTTTAACATCTTCATACTCGGCTCTCAACTATTATGAAAGCTTAAATAAAGCCAGAACAAATATTGATGCAGAATAGTATGAATTCATTTTATTTCGAGGTTTCTCGTCAGCTGCTTACAACAAGATATGTGTTAGAATTTTACATTGAGATAAAAATAGTATGAAACAATTGACATAATTGGATGTAAATAATTGGAATGACAAAGGTTATTAAGAATAACTATATATATATGCAAGGATAGGTCAGAGGTTATTTGGTGTTAGAATCAAGGAAACATTAAGGATGGGTGGTGTGATAGTTGAGTGGAGTTCAGAGACAGATAGGATAAATTGTGTGATAATTTTAGATGTAATGAAGGATTCGTGGGATTAAAAACTGATAAGATGGGTTACGTAAAAATCGAAGAGAATTTGAAGAGTTCACATAATTTAAGAGGATCAAGTGAGCGGAAATGTGTGAATGAAAGGGTGGTTTAAGAATTCGATAATGGGTGAGGAATATAACACAAACTAAATATTTTAAAAAATAAATAAATACAATAAAACTAATAACCAAAAAAACAAAACCGAAAAACTGGATTACCAGGGTAATAATAAGTTTATTACCGTTTATTTTTGAATACACGAATCCGGTTTAAGTTTTTTTTTATCGCGATCGCTTCAGCAAAACAGATAGCAGTCGTACTTCTTTGTCTACTAATAATTTATTTACATCCAATTATGCCAATTGTTTCATACTATTTTTATCTCAATTTAAAATTCTAACACATATCTTGTTGTAAGCAGCTGACGAGAAACCTCGAAATAAAATGAATTCATACTATTCTGCATCAATATTTGTTCTGGCTTTATTTAAATTCATAAAGGGAACTAATTGCATGAAATATTATGGAAGTATTTGTTCAAAGTGTAATGATTTTTCTCATCAAATGGAATTTTGTCCTCATGTCCCTACCCCATTAGTTATATACTATGTGTTAACATTTTTACTAAAACCCAACTTATAATATTCACTCTGTAACTAGTTATTACATATTTTATTATCCTACTGTAATTTAGAATTTGGATAATTTTTTTCAGCTGGTGGCTTTGTTGGAATGTCAATATACACTTCTACAGCATTAGTATTTTGGTATGGAGTGACGTTAATTCGGCAAGGGGAATATGATCCAGGATCTGTGATACTAGTAAGTTGAAGTCATTTTGGTTCAGGAATTATTTAGTGTCTTACAATTTTGCAGTAGCCTTTACGCTCCTACCGATTACTAATTAATTTCGTTGTACTAGTGAAATAGACCAAATTTTCAGATGATTTATCTTAATAGGGCATAATCAAAGATTATGTTGTCGATTTAATTCATATTTCTTTATATTAACCATCACAGATTGTTTATTTGCTGTACTATAGTTTTAAAATGCATGAAACATCACTGTCAGAGATTTGGGTTAATTTTTTTCGATTTATTGCGTTCTCCCCTGAATGTATGTTTTGTATTCGTTTCAATCTAACTCTTATCATGAAACTGATGAATTAACAGTTTTTAAACCAACTTAATAAGTTGATCATGAGTTTAAATGTCCAATCATCTCCACCTACACGATTGTGTAGCAATGATGTAGTGACTTAGCTACTCAAATTTCACCCTACTTTACTATGGATAGTAATGTAGTATCATGAGATCTCACACTTCCTTAACAAATAATCCCAGAGCACAGTGCTGTTTGACGTAAAGAAAGCCGACTTGATATCAATAAACACAATGATTATTAGCCTACAATGCGTGTGGCAGTATTCCAGCATTTGGTGGGAGATCAGAGCATGAATAGTGTATCCGAAGTTCTGACAAAAGCTCGTCTGTTGAAGTTCCTTCCGTTTCGTTGATTGAGTCACTAATCACCGACCAAGAAGTAAAACAGTCTGATGGCGCCGTTGAGGTGATAGACCAGCTAGACGGGCCCTCAGATTCTTTCACTTACTGTGGGTGATTCCTTTGAATATCGCTTATAGGCATACCATTAATTTCACTTGCATCGAGCTTCTTGATATTTAATAAAACAGCTTACATGTACCAATGCATCTGCCTCCAACCTATTAGTTTCGTAAAATTTTACACCCATAGATTCACAATCCTCTAACATCGGTCAACAACTACAGAGAAGCCTAAATAAACCCTGTATCAGTAGATAAGATGTTTCATGAAGCTGCAAGTAGCTTTACTCACTATTTTCATGGCACCCTGTACATACAATCAGTGCTTGTACACACTTTCCGGTAACTTGACATCTAGTCGGTCCGATACTTGGTTGCCGTGATAGCTGTAGTCGATTTACTTAAATCAGTTTTCCGAGACCGATGAGTTGGTTGAAATACTGGATCATGATTATAATTTAGATTGGTGCTCCAAAAACAACAGTAGTTTTTTACATATATGAGCCATTGTTATCTGATTAGAATATGCCCAGTTCGAGTCTAGGACAACAAGTAGCTTATTCAGTCAGTCAGTAACAACGTGGAACTTCGTACGTACGTACATCAGTTCGAGTTGCCATACCACATTAGCACAGAGATTCAGTTATCGATTCAAATCCCGTAGTGGTAGGGGTAGTGAAAGTATAAGTAGTGATAGGGAACATTAAGGTTTGATGATGTTATTTAAGGAGTATAGTCCAGTGGAATAGATTCGGAAAGAAAATAAAGGACATGAAGAATTCAGAAGATTAGAGTTTGAGAGAACACAAAGAGTGGATGCACCTGCGCCATTGCAAACGATTTTCAGCCATGTCATTCAAGGTCTCTAACCATCGGTTGCTATCGTCTCGCGGTCCTCAACCAAGTAGTCTACACCTACCAACACGGCTCAGTCCACTTGTCAGTGACTTCATGGATTTGTACCATGTTTTGGTCTGGCCGCCCTAAGCTTTCTTCCAACCTACTCCTACACCATGAAACATCGCGCGTCGGGGCAGTCGGTGGTCGGGCATGCGCAACACATGTCCCAGCCATCTCAATTGATGAAGTTTCACTACTTCATCAATTGATTTGCCATCCTTACCTAGTACCCGTTTCCTAACAACTGAGTTACTTACTCGGTGGTTACAGGATATACGAGCAATGTTTCGAAGACACCTATGATCAAATACTAGTAACCTACGAATATCCTCTACTCTTACTGGCCATGTTTCACTGCCATAGAGTAAGACGGAACGAAGTGCTGCGCAGTAAACTCGTCCTTTGGTTGATAGACGGATATCTCGCCTACGCCACAAATGACGCAAGTTGGAAAAAGCTAGTCGAGCCTTTTGTATCCGTGCTGAGATTTCGTCACACACCAGACCACAAGGGCTGAAGAGACTTCCAAGATAAGTGAAGCGGTCGACACGCTCATCTACTTCACTCCGTATCACTAGTTCGGGTGTCGACGCAACCCAATCCTGAAGCAACATTTTGCATTTCGAGGGAGAAAATCGCATGCCGAACATGCTTGCATTGTTGCTTAGAGTGGTCAGCAGACTCTGCATTTTGTCAGCGTCTTCACCAAATAGGACTATGTCATCGGCATATTCTAAGTCAATAAGTGAATTTCCCGGTAGAAGTTCAAGCCCTGGAAAGTCAGATGTGGAAAGAGTTTTCTCTAAAAGCACGTCAATGATAAAGTTAAAAAAGAATGGAGAGAGTGGACAGCCCTGACGAACACCACTTGAGGTAATCAGTTCTGATGACATTGTAGGTATCATTACCAAGGTTTGATTTGATAATTTCGAATAAATTGAGCATTGGGTTGATTGTTATAAATAAATAATATATTTGTAATATCCCAATGAGTAGAAAAATTAGATTTTCTGACGTTTCGTGACTTAGTGTAAGTCACTTCTTCAGAGAATAAATAACCAAATTAAAATCAATCCAAGCCTAAATCGTATAACGGAACAACCTTTATAAGGTTAATGTACTTCTTTGGTACTCCTTTCAGAGACAAACACTGCCATAGGACCTCACGATCAACAGAGTCGAATGCCGCCTTATGGTCGAGAAATACTACGATTGTGGGGCGTCCGAATGTGTGTCTATGTTCTAGGACCTGACGTAGTGTGAATATCTGATCTATACAACCACGTCCAGGTCGAAAACCAGCCTGGTTTTCTCTAGTCTGCTCTTCACGAGCTTTAGTTAGACGTCGAAGTATTATTGAAGCTATTATTTTAGACACTATATTAGTCAAACTAATACCTCTGTGATTGTCACAAGATGACTTTTGTCCTTTCTTATAGACTAGCACAATCAGTGATTGAGACCAGTCAGATGGGATTACGTCCAGTTCCCAAATTCTACCTAAGACCTCAGTCAATCTCACTGCTAATACTGAACCACCATCCTTAAAAATCTCAGGGGTAAACCTGTCAGGGCCTGCTGCTCTCCCACACTTCAGATTTCCTATAGCTTTTTCAACTTCGTAAAGAGTCGGAGGACCTACATTAACTTACCATTCAGGTCGACTGGAGATCGTGGGAAACCGAAGTGTGGCTGAAGGCCAGTTGAACTGATCCCTAAAGTGTTCTGCCCATCGATCTTATCTCCTGGATTGAGAATGTATAATATGTTCATCTTTTTCTGAGATAGTTTTGCTAACAGTTGGGTTCCTAATACCGGTTTTCTTAACAAGTCTGAATAGTTGCCTGCTGTTACCTATTGCCGCTGCCTTTTCCATCTCTCTTGCTTTCGCTACCCACCACTGTTCACGATCATTGCGTAGGCTTCTAGTCAGCTTAAGCGTAAGCTGACTCCGCTCTTCGTTATGTTCATAGTCAGATGGAATGAGTTTTCGAGCATCTATCAGTGCGATAGACGCTGCTGAGATCCAGTGTTTCTCCCTAACCTTATAGTTTACTGCATCTGAGCTGCAGTCAGTGGGAGAGTAGGCAGATACGACGAAGAGGCAACGACGAGTGTCCCTATCTTTTCGAGTCCTTACTGTTCCGTTTAGTCGGACAACACACCAGCGACTGTCTACTGGGATCCAGTCTAAAGGAGCTAGTTCTGCCCTAAGACTCAATGCTATACCTACGCCAGCAAGGCCACGGGTAGCAGCATCAGGGCTTCCTGATATACGAAGCCTAAATCGGGTTGGTTCGTTACTTTGATATTATGAGGTCAAGTGAATGACACTACTCGGATCCTGTGTGCGCGTTTCGGAGACGCAGCACACATCGATGGAGCGAGATTCTAAAGTCTTAGCTAAGGAAGCCTGTTGTCCTATTTGGCACAGTGTTCGGACGTTGAAATCTCCTATGTGTAGTTTAGAGCGTGGTTTCAGGAGACCAGGAATAAAAGTCCGCGTACTCGAATCGTTTGCACTAGTGGGGCGAGGTGATAAAGGGACGTGAGAACGGTTGGTCATGGAGATAAGAGAGTTATTATGAGGTTTAGGAGGGATTTGAATATGACCAACTTTGTCTCATATGCTGTTATGGGTATGAGGGCTGATGTCACTTCCTGGCTGCCCACACCGTGGAAGGGTATTTCTTGAGGGACCTGAAAAGGAACTCGGATTAGTGTTGGTCTTAACGACCTGGGAGCGTGACCGCAGAGCCCAAGGGACAACTGCTTGAGGCCGGTCGCGCACGGCCTTTTTGTGGGAAGTTTTCAATGTGTTAGCTCCGTTATTCAAAGGGCCTTACCGCCGGAGACCGAAATCCGTGGGGTAAGGTGGGGTGTGACATTTTTAGGGTCGACCTTTTCTAACCCCTTCCTTCCTTGTGAGAAGGCAGCATCGCTGTAGATGCTGATTGTCCGAGGGAAACACCTTTCTGCTGTCACACCTCTGTACAGTCAGCAGTACGACTTCGCCCTCAGACCTTGAGTTACTGCTTTTAGTCTTACCGTTCTCCAATCGACCTGCCTGGCATGGTAGAACCTGCAGGAACATGTGTTCCAGCCAACATAGCTCGATTGGGTCATCACGATAGGCAAGCCCGACCACCACGTCAAGGTAGCAGCTACGGTCGGGACAAGTAGCTTATTGCTGAGGACTGTGCCTAAAGCTCATACTGATAAGAAATAAGCTTGACGTTATGCGAAGCCCTAAAGACGGTTCCGATTATCCGATTTAAAAATAATGTTTCCCCATCAGCCACCTAAACAACTATCCTCTGAGACTAAATTCTTAACCTGATCACTTATTTTATCAACGAGCTTCCCAATAACTGTCAAGTTAACTTTGTTAGGAAGGCTATATCACACGTAGTTTCGGAATATCCGTCTCGGATATTATACTGAGATACTCTTCTTTATGATGGTGTATTTGTCTTTAGTTTATACATTTCTAATTTAACGTGGTTTATTTGAATAATTAGTCGATGCATTTCAACATTTGTTTTCTCGGATTACATCTGTTATCCCTAATATAATCCTAATTTTACATTTTAGGTTTTTCTTAATATCATAATTGGAAGTTTGTTTCTAGGCAGTGCCTTACCGAATTTTAGATACTTTCATGTGGCTAAAGCATCAGCGCGAGATATATTTGATATTATTAAACGTGTAAGTGCAACATAATAATAACAATAATAAATAAATAAATACTATTACCACAATTATCATTTAATGACCTATGAAAGTCGAAACGACAAGATTTTTAAAATCTTAGTTAAACTTATTGTTCAACTCTCTATTATTCCAGATTTTTCTGATCCTTTATCAAATTTTTTTAAGTTCTTATCATTATTATCTTAAAACTGAATGCCCCTAATAACTAAGTTGCCAAAAGTTATTGATCTGACGTGAAATAATGCAATTCATTTTCAGGTTTCAGTTAGCTATGATTAGATATTTAAGTTGTATAACCGATTCTTTATTGACTAAATTACTTGTTTTGTTATCCATTAAATCACATAGATTCATACTTCTCCTAAACTATTTTTAGTTTAAACAAACAGATAATTACACCCAGCTCTTGCTTAGAAATGTCAATTTTAGGCCGTCGTAAGTTCTATTTAAAACTATTCAGTTGATTTCCTATTATCACTAGTAGTTCACGGATAGCCCCCAAATGCCCTGGTATGGCCGAGAGCGGGGAGGGTTCGCCCTCCCTCTCGAAATACTCTCACACGGCCACGCGTATACAGCCTCTGCCAGGAAAGTCCTACTCACTGCCTTCTCGTGGTGGGGGTGTTGTTTACGAAAATGAGAGGACGAAAAGCGAATGTCCGGCGCTATAACCGGATCCCAATTCTATGGTGCACATGGGCTCCAGTATCCTGCGGGAACAAATGGCGTATGAACCAATCGTTGGTCACCGGCTTCCATGGGACTGCATCTCCTCACGATGCTCCACTGCCTTGTGGACTAGACCTTTAGGTCAAAAGCTCGGGGTGTGGCCCCCTAAGAAAACCACCTGCTTCGGTCTGGGCACCCGGGCAGTATCCCAGCCCACTCACTAAAAATATGATGAACAATTTGCTTATGGAAAATATTCCTTTCTATCTGATTAACATTGAAATAACTCGTACTATTATTATTATTGTTATTATTATTATTATTATTATTATTATTATTATTATTATTATTATTATTATTACTCTACCACGTCATTTATTCACCCTCTCTTATTCCTACTTTATATATGCGTTTCGACCTAGACAGCAGCTCACCTATGGTGAAAATTCAGCTTTATCTATACGTTCCCGAGTCACTGCCTGGTTGAAAATTGTATGTTACTACCGAACATGAGTACTGAAGCAGTTTTTCTGAAACCGCGTGCACCATTCAAACTGGCTACCTTCAACGTTCGCACACTTATGCAGGTCGGACAACAGATAGGGCTGGCTATGTCTTTGGAAAGTCTTAATATTGATGTGTGTTGTCTATCCGAGACCCGTATTCAAGACTCTGGTGAAGTACTACAAGTTCGCTCTCCATCTGTCACTTCAAAAAGCTTGTTTTATGTGCGTTTATCCGGGGACCCTGTGGCATCTTCGTCTGGTCTTGCTGGCGTTGGTGTCGCACTAAGCGCAAGAGCTGAGGCAGCACTAGTCGACTGGATCCACATTAACAGTCGGTTATGTGCTGTTAGATTAGAAAGTTCCATCAAAGTGAGAAGAAATCGGCGTGAGAAACGATGTCTTTTCGTCATCTCCGCCTATGCCCCGACAGATTGCAGCCCGGATGCAATCAAGGACGAGTTCTACCATCAGCTAACTGTTCTTCTCCAGAAAGTGCGTCCGACAGATATTGTAGTACTAGCTGGAGACTTGAATGCTCAGGTCGGGCGTCTAGGCACAGAAGAGAGTCGTTTAGGTGGCCGATGAGGACTCGTTGGTCGCAGGACAGATAACGGGGAACGTCTACTGCAACTATGCACAGACCACAACCTGTTTCTGGCTAGCACTAACTTTCGGCACGGTCATCGCCGATGTGCCACCTGGCGTCCTCCTTCTGCATCTCAAGCCTGGACTCAGATTGATCACATCGCGATCAGCTACCGCTGGCGTGGTTGTGTACAAGACTGCCGCTCCTTTTGGAGTACCTATCTGGAATCTGATCATGCTCTGGTCTGCGCCAATCTTACCTTACTTTTCAGTGGACAACGAAGTGACCGCCACCAAAGGATTGATGTTAGCAAGCTGGCTGCAACTTCTGTTGTTAGTAAGTACCGAACCGAGCTAGCTTCTAGGCTAGCTACCATTCCACCGAAAAGTATAGATGAGCATTGGTTGCAATTGCATGACGCCATGAAAATGGCGGGTAAAGTCAGTTGTGGGTTCGCGAAACGTCCCGCTTATGAGCACTGGGTTTCTTCTGGTTCCTTACAACTGATTGAAGCCCGTCGGTCTACTCCGGGTGACCGTGAGTTTGACCACAGACGAAGGATGTTACGTAATGAAATCGGGCAAAGCTTGAGTAAGGACCGAGAAGCCTGGTGGTCGGAGCGTGCCAGTGAGTTGGAAGCAGCAGCTGCATCTGGTAATTACCGGAAGCTCTTCCAACTCATCCGAGCCACTGGCAGCAAGAAGTTTGGTGTGAGCGAAACAATCTGCGAGGATGACGGAACGCCAATCACTAACATCCATCGACGTCTTGGACGATGGGCAGAATTCTTTGAAGGGCAGTTCAACTGGCCTGCTGCTCCGGCAACATCGGTCAGACTGTCCTGCCCTCCATGGCCGGTGACGACTGATCCATCAAATGAGGCGGAAGTCTGAAGGGAACTCCAACTCTCGAAACGCTAAAAACCACTGATCCCAGATGACCTGCCTGCGGTTCTTTTTAAAGATGGCAGTGACATTCTGGTTAAGGAACTGACGACGATGTTTACAAATGTCTGGGAGCTAGAGAGTGTTCCAACAACATGGAATGAGTCCATAGCTGTCCCTATCTTTACAAAGGGTTCACGTCGTTTCTGTAACAACTATCGGAGGATAAGTCTACTTCCGATTGCGTCCAAGATATTGGTTCCGTCATACTTCGTAGGTTGTTCAAAACCCGAGAAAGATTGACTCGCGAGGAGCAGGATGGGTTTCGTTCCGATCGAGGATGTATTGATCATATCTTCACCCTCCGCTAAATGTTAGAATACCGCCATACTTACCAAAGGCCAAAAATCGTAGTGTTTCTTGACATAAGGGCTGCCTTCGATTCGTTGGATATGACTGTTCTCTGGGAGTGTCTACTGAAGAATGGTGTGCCTGAGAAGTTTATTAACATCCTAAAAGCCCTATACACAAACACCTCAGGTAGAGTGAGGGCATACAACCACCTTTCTCCGTTATTCCATTCGAGCAGTGGGGTTAGGCAGGGTTGCCCAATCTCACCATTCCTCTTCAACTTTGCCATCGATGACATTCTGGAAACAGCTCTGACGGATGTAAGTAATGGTGGTGTGGATCTGTTGCCTGGAGAAAGACTTCTAGACCTTGAGTATGTGGATGATATTGTCTTACTGTGCGAGAATGCCCAAGCTATGCAATCCGCACTTAATCAGTTGGCAATCAATGTCCGTAGGTATGGTATGTGCTTTGCACCTTCGAAGTGCAAAGTACTTCTACAAGACTGGCAGGATTCTAATCCTGTACTCACTCTGGATGGTGAGCAAATTGAAGTAGTCGAGAAGTTCGTGTATCTAGGTAGCTGCATAAGTGCTGGTGGTGGTGTGAGTGATGAGATGAATGCACGTATAGTGAAAGCCAGAGCGGCTTATGCCAATGTGGACCATCTTTGGCGCCTTCGTGATGTTAGTCTGGCTGTAAAAGGTCGGATCTACAACGCGACGGTGATAGCAGTTTTGCTCTATGCTTGTGAAAGCTGGCCTCTCCGAGTTGAGGATGTTAGACCACTCTGTGTTCGATCATCGCTGTCTCCGAAGGATTGCTGGCATCCAGTGGTAACACCATGTCAGTAATGCAGAGGTTCGGCATCGAGTGTTCGGTCACAGAAACGATAATGAAATTGGTGTCACCATCTTGAAACACCGACTTCGGTGGCTTGGACATGTTCTACGAATGTCGTCCCAGAGAATTCCACGTCGTGCATTATTTGCCGACTCTGGGACTGGTTGGAAAAAGCGGAGAGGTGGTCAGTATATGACATGGTGTCGTGGTATGAAAGAAAGCTGCAAAGGGCTAGCTTCTGTTGGTCCTTCACGACTCCGTGGCTGGGGTCCGAGAGACGGTGTAACGCAGTGGCTAGAGACGTTATCAGATATGGCTCAGAATAGAAGCCAGTGGCGATCGTGCTGTAACCTCTTACTTTCTTCATAAAAAGTGTTTATATCTTCCTTAACTGAAAGATCTCTTCTGATTGTACCTTTCCGTTTCCCCCACCATTGTTCTCTCTCTCTCCCTTTTTTTTATAATTCCCCACGTTCATTACTTTTTTTTCTCTTTTCTCCTTCTCTTCAAATTATCATTGTTTTGTGTGGCGCATATATATTTGGTGCCCCTCTGTACCAATATTTATGTGTTCAAATAAATAATAAATAAAATAAATAGTTCACGGATAGTGGTGTTATCATATGTTATTGATTGTTTATTAGAATATTTCCATTGACAGTAAGATATATACAACTTTGTAATTTCTTTATGCACTCATTATAAAATCTTGGAAATGATCTTTCTGCTTTGGAACAACCGAATTGTTTACATACTATTCGTCATCTAATTTATGGTTGAAACTAGACTCCCTGAAAAGAAACTAAATTAAATGTTTATTCGATTTTTTAATTATCTTATTCCAGATTTTTTGGCTTTAAGACCCTGAGAAACTAAAGATACCTTTAGATTTTATAACATCGTAAAGAATATCCGCGTACATTAAAAACCATCCAAATAAAATCGGTTATTATTTAGCTTACAATTACTGAATAATCAGTAAAATTCCTTATATGTTTATTTAGAAGGAATAAAAGCAGTTCAACAAAGAAAATTCTCTTATCAAGGGTATCTACTGAAGCTGTACACTCTTATTTCTAGCAACTTAACAGGTATGGTAGGTCGTTAAATGATCTATCGAATGATTACCTCATGAATTATGCGGAGTTTTCAGTCGTCGCCCTTTATCACAAATTGATTGGGGTTAGAAATGTGTAAAATTAGATGCCTACCCAGTTGTCTTATGGTTACCCCCCTAATACCTAAAGACTATTGACTTCATTCTTGGAGGGATTGTGGGCGCACACTAGTGAGAAATCCCGTGTTAGGATGAAACAGTCGTCCAGTAGTCATATACACTTATTCTGCGAATGTATTCGTTCATGTTGTCTTGTCCTATCATCTTCGGTTATTACCAATATTGTTCATCCTACTCTGAGATTTGTCTTGACAATTTCATCTTGCTATAGTGATGTAGTAGGATAACTGAAACTAATGAACTATCCTATCAGGTTCTATGTTGCTTATAACTAACCGGCTGGTCAATGACCTCTGGTGTTCAATATTACCACAGCTGAGATTAATGCGTCATGAATATCACCTGTAAATCTATCGACTTAAACAACTACGGTTTAGTTTATTTCATCATTTTGAGCTTACTATTAAGAAAGGCAGTTTCATCTTTCAAAATCTAATCACTGATTATGTCTATTTAATTTACGCTTTAAAATAAACCAATAGTAAATCTTTTCTTCCGATTTATATATATATATATATATTCACTGTTTACAGAAACCTTTAGTTGACAAAACATCTTCGAATAAACAACTTGATGATTTTAGTGGTAAAATAACATTTAACAAAGTTTCATTTTCATATCCGTCACGTCGCGAAAAAGTGGTGAGTGTCCTTTCTTCATTGTTTGTATATGAACTATCCCTTATTTTATATAGTATAAGTGGAATGTGACAAGGCCACGCGTTTTGTTCTACTTGGTACTCGTCAGCTGGATTACGTGCATCCTGTAGTAGAAATCAACTCTTGGATACGGGTCCACCCAACTAAGGAGTCCCAAAGAAGACGAAACCCGTATTTGGGATTCCACTGCTAGCCACATTCCATCTATTCTATGTAAACTCGTGTCATAATGGCTATACTGAGGTTTTCATCACAGGATGCACATATCCCAACAAAGATTGATCAAATTCCAGTCAAAATATCAACACGATAATATAAACCATTATAAACGAAATTAATGTCTGTTTGGTGTAGATCTACAGTTTAACTGTATAGTTCATCTTGATATAACTTGTCTACTCTGTTTACTAGATATTCTTGATATATTTGCTCAAGACTTTTTAGGACACATTATTCGTAAACCATTTCATTAAGTTGTTTATACATTCAGTGCTTAATTATTTTAAAACTAGATCATTGTTTTAATCTATCGAAATCTTAATGTTTTAATCATTTAAACAAAGTCTAACAGCTGGTGTTTTTCGGACTTTTGATGTTTTTATGTATTTAAAAACTTCCATTGTTACGTGTACAGTACCTAGCTGCTTCCATTTGAAATATTTAAGATATTAGTCATCCACACTGATTAGATTGTATTTATGTATCTACACTGCTTAAAACGTGATGCCACGTAACGAAAGGAAGATTGTTTGCGTCAACTCTATTTAATAAAATATACTAATTAATTTGAATGTTATTCAGTTCATCTCATTAGTTTGTATGTTTGTGGTGATTGTATTGAATTCGAAAACGGTTTTCGTCACTGACATTAGTTGGAAAAACATTAAAAACTATAAAGCTGTTGAAATGTAAACAGGCTTACTTACCTATGATATCGGTTTATAATCTTGTCTATTCACAAACCACTTAAAATTAGAAATGATGACCATTAGATTTTGACTCTATTTAAACGTTATTGCCCTTGCTGTAAGTCCCGAAGTTGTTGAGTCTGATCGCAAGTCGGAACTTGGCAGAACAACACAATTATCTAGGAATTCTGGGTTCTATAGCTGATACCGAATCAGAATTGATATTATCTTCAATGTGATTCTCATTTATCTTTTTCTTAAATAGTTGCCCTAGTAAAGTACATTTTTCAGCACTGAAACACAAATCCGCTCGAGTGGTTCTCTAATGTACATGATATTTATGTACCCAATATAAAGTATAATCTAAGAGTTAATTGTATTTGTTTAGGAAGATAGATTAATAGATCAGTAATCTAATAGTGATTATAGTGCATTTTATGTGTTTAAAGATCTTAAAACATGTAAACCTAGATAATTATATAATTCACTAATTTTTACTGTTGATTACTTTTTCCTATTCACTTGCCTCATTCTGGAGTTATGAAGCGATCAGTTTAAATTTGTTTCTACTCGTTGAAGTTTGAGCGTATATTGTTGTTAAACAAGAATTTTCATTTCTACTACAACTTATTCTTGACAATTATGATGATTTATGAGAGTTATGTTTATCAGATATATTTACTGTAGTAGCGAAGAACAAAAGCGTTCTGCTTTTAGTTAACCAAAAATCATTATGAATTCCATTTCGCTCCTTACAAACGTGACCCATGTACCATTACACCTTCATGTTCTCATTTTCAAAGTTACATAATTTGTATTTGGGCTAGCGTTACGACACGTCCGCCAAAATGTGAATAGATGAAGTAAGATTCAAAATAAGAATTGAATAGGTGGAATTCATCCCCTTCAATCACCTAGCTATTGCTCAAATGCACTTTATATTAACGCTGTTAACGACTGAATTTGTTTTTCAAGCATTCGACATTTTATCATAGATTTTCTATGTAATCTCTTCTTTTTTCTTAAAAACTATCCTTAAAGATACTCAATGACTTGAGTTTAACTATACAGTCAAACGAAACAACTGCTTTTGTTGGTCCTAGTGGATGTGGAAAGACTACAATTACACAGTTGATCGAACGATTTTATGATCCAGATAATGGTCAGGTATTATATGATAAAGTTTTTTATACAGCTTCGTTTTATTTCATTATTTTAATGTCATAGTTTATTTTCTTAGTTGATATTTTACTGAAAATAGGAAACATCATCATTTGAAGTTATTAAACAGAACTTCCACAGGAGCACTCTAAACAAACAGTGTTTTGTTAATCACTACAACAGTTTGTTAGTGTTATAACTGTCGGTAACTATAAAGTTTGTCGATACATCTGTCATAAGAAAATCCAAATACGTTATAATCTTCGTTTATACAAATTTATCAATCTCCTAATAAAGTTTAGAGATGTTGTTGGAAGATTTAATCCCCCTAAAGAATACACCATCACCATATAAATTCACCTGATTTCATACTTTTTCTTCCGTTGTATGATTTAATTTCACTTCCTAGTTTTGATCTTTCTGACTTCTTAAGTACCAATGGGATATTTAGCAACACCACGGATTTATTCGTAAGATTTCGTTTGGTCTATATATATTACCACGTTTACGTAATAAAGTAGTCGAGTCAGGATCTACTTGAGACTATATTTTGATCAATTACAATATAACCTTCAATGATGGAGTAAGAACTAGTTACGTTCATCCGGAAAAAAATAGAATGAAACCCATACATACTATTGAATAGTAATAAAAGTTACAACAAATGAATAAATTATTCCTATAACAACTATGCTTACCCAATATAGCATTGTTCACCGACTGACACTTAAGTCAGAACATTGGATTGAACTCAGACTGATATAAAGTAATTATTTAAAGTGTAGCTGGACTGGTCTTTTCTCTATTTCTGCACCTAGCCAACTGTGATAAATTATCAGTTCCTCACTACTTAATAGTATTTGCATGAGTTGTCAAGTTTCAGTCATCAAGTTTCATATATGAGAACTTTACCTACCTGATTGATTGATGTGTGAATGATATGAAATTGATGTTTTCCAGTATTTTGCAACATTTTAATCACATTCCGAGAAAGAGTAATTATATAACTTGGTAAATTCGTTTTATGATATGGTAAATATATGTTCACACAGTAATTAGTGCTAAATAATATTCAGTTCAAATAGAACAAACCTGGCTGTAAATAAATCATAAAAACTGGTGTATTCATATGTGATCTAGGTTTATTCCCTGTGTCAAATAAATCCATATCACTAATCTTTGTTTTCTCATTACGTGTCGTCGTCGGATTCACGGTCCCAGTACAAAGCATAAGCCAGCTAAGCATTTCCGTGGACATAACACTAGCTTCAAGACAATAAATGGGTCTTTTACACTAATCTTTTCTTGTTGGTGATTCAATTGGGACAATTGCATTAATTACCAGCAAATTTATTTTATATATATTTATTTTAACACATAGATATTGGTACAAGGAGGCACCAAATACATATGCGCCACACGAATCTCAATTGATTTGTGTGAGGGCTGTGATACTGCCCAGGTGCCCAAACCGAAGCAGGTGGTTTTCTTAGGGGGCCACACCCCGAGCCTTCGACCTGAACGTCTGACCCACAAGGCAGTGGAGCATCGTGAGGAGATGCAGTCCCATGGTAGCCGGTGACCAAGAATTTGGTTCATACGCCACTTGTTCCTGCACGATATTGGAGCCCATGTGCACCATTGGTTTGGGGTCCGGTTAAAGCGCCGGACGTTCGCTTTTCGTCCTCTCATTTTCTTAAACAACACCCCCGCCACGAGAAGGCGGGGTTGTGAAGATTGTTGAGTTTTGATTGAGATCATGAATCTATCAAAGTTAGATCACCGTTAGTTAGTTGAAGTCTGACATTTACACCGGTGGATGCCGGCTCAGCCGTCAAGCGTTTACATGTGAAACTTAAAGTCCTAGGTTTTAATCCCACGTGCATGATCGTGGATGCGTACTGATGAGGAGCTCAGTGCTTCCAGTTTTTCAGTGGTGGTCTAACATTGATCGATTCATGATCTCAATCAAAACTGTATTAATCCTTCGGCTTAAGAATAACACAGATATAGGATGTTTTTTTAGTAAGTAATTTCTGCAAAATTCGTAGGTTAACAATTCAAGTAATTAAAGAATTAAGAGTACTAGCATGTTTATCCAGAAATGTTGATTGACTGTAACAGTGAACCAGTCCAAAACAAGAAATATAATATTATGAAAAATTGAGGGCTAATGAATGCGTTCCCCAGTAAAAACTATCTAACAGTATAAATATTGTTTCTTAAAAACCTGTCAATTTTTTGTTATTTTCAATCATTTATCGAAAATTAATTTGTTTATTTTAAATTTTAAGATACTTTTTGATGATACCGATTTGCGTACATTGAATGTGGATTGGATTCGGTCCAACATAGGAATTGTTCAACAAGATCCAGTTCTATTCACAGGAACAATATCGGAAAATATTCGAATGGGTTGTCTAAATGATACTGTAACTAATGATGATGATGATGATGATGATGAAAACAATATTATAGAAGCAGCGAAATTGGCTTATGCTCATGAATTCATTACAAAATTGCCAGAGGTAGAATTATGAAAATTTTATTTTTTAGCCTAACACATTTTATTACATTGAAATCACGGACCAATCTAAGTTAGGCAACCATTGAAGACTTTAAAGAACTGAATGAGTGTTTCATCTTAGTATGAGACCCCTCAGCAACCCATATCCACGATTTCGCAACTTGGGCTCGAACCCAAGACCTTCGATCTCACGTAATAACGCTTAACCCCTAGACTATTATCCGCGTACCCAAAGGTGTACAAGTCTAGCTTGTAGTATGTAAATTAAAGTTTCACGATTGTATGTAAATTTAAAATCTCTTTAGAATAATAATACAAAACTAACTTTTTATCGAAATCCATTCAATGTCATAAAATGGAAAAAAATCTGTATAAAGCACACAATTTTACGTATAGGTTTGGTCTTTAAATTTACTGTTAACAATGAAAATAATATCGATCAAAATTTTTTCTCGTAATCACAATAAAGTGTATTTTATTCTACTAGTAGTCTTACAAAATAAAAAAACGGATGTATCAACTCCCTCAATGTTGTAGATACAACATTTTGTTGGACACCAACTAGACTGCTGATGATTGGCCGAACTTAAAATCTATGTCTAGAAGGATTTTCTGACTATTTCCGCCACTTAAAATCAAAACATAGATGATAATTGCATTAATCAATTCACAATTCACTTCATTCACTAGATACGAATTAGTGTACCTGGCTTTGAGTTGCATTGTGATTTGCCGGTTATCCAAATTGGAGTGGGCAGAGAGAAGTTCGGACATGGAACTTTGAGTGCGAAATTCAGAAATTTTAAATATTAGCTTACTACTCCATATAGTGAATTTACATGTAGTTGTGGTCATAAATCTGTCTTTAAAGATGTAAATTTGTGCGAATAAACATAATCTATTTTCTTGCATCAATGAAGAAAATAACCAATGGCTATTTCAATGCATATTGTGTAAAATGGCGTTAATGATACACTCCTTAATTAGTGATTATGAAATCACCATATTCAGTACTCCCTAATTTAAAAATCACTATATTCAAGTAATTTAACAATTAATCGGTTTCAAAACCAAGGGTTATTTACACATTCTCTTATTGATTTGCACTGTAATTTAACCCTGAGTTTAATTGTTTGACTTGATGCATTAAAACTTCATTATGCTTTGTTTCGTTTCATATGAATATTTATTGACATGTATAAATGTGACCAGATTGTTCAAATTATTATTTGCTGATTGATCAATACTGGTGTGAGACAAATTCCATCTTATTTTCTATCCACCTAAACTATCAATTTAAAAATAAGTAGTGAGTCATTGAACAAACAATTTTTTCAAACGCTACCGTCTCATCGATTTACGTAGATTGCTTTCAAAACAACAAGTGTAAGAATATTCAGATAAAGTTTATGACTAAAACAGTTGGTATATATAAAATACGAGATTTTATCAATAACAGTAAAATTAATTTATTCTGTAGTTAATCACAAACCATCGATATAATGTTGATTACTCAACATTTTCTTGTTGTTGAGATGATAAATGGCTAGATATGATTACTAACCGAGTTACAATCGAATTTCCTATATATGGTTAACGATTTGTTTGTCTTAAACTTTTCAAAATGACTCATACACTCTTTTCAAACAATTCCTCTAAACTATTCTGTTTAATGATAATAAATATGTCATCTACATACTGTAACCAAACTTTTGGTGCATTTACACATCTTGTGATTGTACTGGTGTCAAGGGCATACGTGAATAAAATTGTTACAATTGGAGGAACTGGCAAATCCATTGGTACACTTTCATTCTGTCTGTAAATGTCTCCTCGAAATATGAATAATGTGGATTGTTTGAAAATGTAAACAGCATTTCGGAGAGCATCAAGCTAACAAAGGAAATAGAGGCCAATGACCACAAACTAGCGTTTCTCGATTGTTTGATTGAACAAAGACATAATAATAAGTTTTAAAAAAATGTATTAAAAAAATAAACACATTCTGAGAGATACTTCGATCACAGTTCGGTTCACGTTTTCTGTACGAAAGTCACAGTGGTAAAAAATTTAATTAACAGGAGTATTAATCTCGTTACAGATAAGGAAGACCAGCAGGTTGAATTGAATGGAATTTTGTCTACGCTTAGGGATAACAATTACCCTAAGGAGTTTCTAGAGAAGATTATTAGAAGTTAAAGAAAAACTAAATCACAGTGTACATCGGAAGAAATTAAAAGGATTCTAAACAAACATGATATGAGTTTTTTAGGGCTAGAGACATTATAAGATCAGCATTAGTAAATGTTAATGATGGATTTCCAAAGAGAGAACAAAGGAATATTGTCTATGAGATCAACTATCATGATTGTATTGCAGCCTATGTGGGAGAAACATCAAGACAATTGAATGTGCGGTCGATAGAACACAAATAATGTTTGGAAAATATTTCCAAATCCTCGGTTGATCTGAAGGAACTTGAGAATAGGTAGACGATAGCGCTGCATGCGTTGGAAACAGGATACAAGATCAATTTTGAAGAAACCAAAATACTTCAGAGAGGTTTTAGCACACATAAAGAAAGATTGACGTCAGAAGCGCTGTATATATGGGCTTATAAGAACAGCGTGAACAGAATTGATGGTATTCAACTATCAACTTCTTGGCAAATGGTCGTTAACTAGTTATTACACCCTTTCTTTATTCAACTTACTTATTTCATATGCATCATTATTCTGACAGAAATTAATCTGAAATACATTAGCAATACGATATTGTATTTGGTGATTCTCATCTTACATGCACATCGGGAGTTCAGAAAAAAATTCAGTCTTCAAGTTGCACTTTTGTTTTTCCTTTACATAAAAACAAATTAAAACCTAATATCAACTATTAATAGCTCTTCCATCCTATATTTCTATCTGTTTATCCCGATTATAATTGCTACATTTATACATTCATATTCTGTAACTAAAACAAGTGTTTTCATTTAAATTGCCTATTTCTTTTCTATTCATTCATATCCTCATCCCTTAAAAAGCACTAATGATTTCTACTATTCCGTGACAACGCGATTTGCAGTAGGTAATTCTTATTATCTGTGTATTCATTCATTTGCTTAAGTTTTATTATTATTTTATCACTAGTGATGAATTCCCAAACGCTTGTTTACTATTCAGCTTCTACATATTGTATTCAACGTTGTTCAGTGATGATGGCACTCATTTTACAAGTACAGGTTTGTGTATTTGGCTTTATGTCCGATGGCCACTAATACTACCTGGCTGCCTAAATCAAAATAGGTAAACCGGCTTTCGAACTTGAGACCTTGTAGTTGAGATTCGAACACTTAAACCACTAGGCTATTTTTCTATAATAATATTCAGTATAATATTACGATCAGCTTTAATAATATTATGAGTGAATATGTATAATAAGTGACAACCTGTTAGTCTCCTTAAAAACAGAATGCTCTTATTTGAATAATGTTCAATTTTCATTTTTTTTAGGGCTATAATACAATGATATCTCGTGCGAACTCTGAATTGTCGGTTGGTCAAAAACAGCGTATATCGATTGCTCGTGCTCTCATTCGTAAACCGAAAATTCTGATTTTCGATGAGGCTACATCAGCTTTAGATAATCATTCAGAAAGAATGATTCAGCGTGCTTTAGAAAATATAAAAATTAATCGGACTGTGATTATAATTGCTCATCGATTGTCAACTATTCGAAATGCAAATAAGATTGTAGTTTTAGATAATGGTCGTATTAGGGAGATAGGTACCCACGCACAATTATCCTCTACCTCAGGGTTTTATTCAGCAATGTTAAAACTTGAGGTATGCTAAATTATATTTAATTTCGTTTATTGTAAAATGTATAATGTTTCCTGTTTTACTGGTGTATTGCGCTATTAGAATTCACTTTTACCTCTTTTTGTCAGTATAATGTGTTCCACCATGAAGGGTTTGTAGATATTGTCTAATTTTATTATTTATCTCACGAACTGACCTTCATCAGTGTTATATCTAGAGCTTAGATTCTTGAGATACCGCGTACGACTTGAGCACTCGAACGCTGGAACCCTCCAAGTCGCAAATGAGAAAAAGGAAGACATGAGAAGGAATGTTATTCAAAACAGTGTCAAATATGGTGCGGAACCGTTAGGTATTTATAGTTTTTGGTAAAGGCGAAATCATCATTACAGTCATCCAATCCTCATACAGTGGTTTTTAGCGTTTGTCCAATAGTGAAGCTACACGCCGATGTCCTGGAATGTTCTTCCAAAATGTGGTTAGATGGAATATCTTCGGCTCCTTCTGAGATTGCTTGAGTTTACCCGTGGATCGTCCTCACAATTAGACAACCAACGAAAACCAGGAAACTAAGAAGCTGTCTCATTCTAGCACTTGCCTCTTCACTAGTGACCACCCAAGACTTCACTGGCGCCCGTAAGCCTGATCTGCAGGTCTCTCGGAGAGCGCTTACGCTTTGTAGGACTGAGCTGGTATCCACTGGTTAATGGTTCATATTGTAATCAATTAGTGACATTGCGTAACCATTTTCCAATTACATTGGTGGTTAAATGACTCACGCCAAACAAGCTTAAACTTAACGATCTCCACAAACCCCCAGTGTTAAAAACAACTATGTGCTTAACAGCGATTAGTTTCAAGAGGTGAACAGTAGAGTTCAACCTTGTCTGGTTTGAGTCATTAACGCACCGATAGGATTAAAAGATGGTTACACAATATCACGTGATCTGTTAATTGTCATGCCCCTACATCAAAATATTTACTTACAACACTTTCCTTATGGTTCCGTGGCGTATATTTGTTTGATATCAAGTTGAATAGGGTATTTTCAAAAACAACTGAACTAGTCTTATACGCTTTCAATCTTTGACAACACGTATATATTAATTAGTTAAAGAAATTGATTTTCCGTTTGTTATTTTTAGTGATTCCAGCTGTTTATGAATGCTGGTGTATTGGTTACTGTAAATTTAATCAACTTAGGATACCAGATTTAAATGCCCAAGTTTTACAATCTTCACATTATCATAGTTTTACTTGCATCAATCATTTTAGACTAGGTATTATATACAGTACAGTTCAATGAGTAGTTTGTTTTCACTTCGTGGATAGTATAGAATATAGTTTGCATGTAAGTATCCATTTTAAGCACATTCCGTAATATCATCGAACTACAGTCTTGACCTCTAGACCATTGAGTTGTGATCCAACTGTGTTAATGTCTAACTTCAGTTGATCTATGATTCTGCACAACCATTCATCCATTGTCTCAGGTAGATACCTGTCTGTACCCAACACGGATTGAACTTCACTAGTTACGGCTTCTCACCAGAACTTCGGAAAATCCATCTTGTAGCTAGTCGCTAGTGAGCACATGATTATTACCATTAGAACTCAACTATTGTAATCACTACAATCTCCACAAACCTCATTCCTAATATTATATTATTTAGTCACATGCATACTAGTTTAAACATATCTCCCACTAAATTAGCTATCATCATTTACAAACCTCTCACTGTACTTATTTAAAATGTGGTGACTTTGAGCGATTTATATTTGTACTAAGTTGTTTTTAAAACCTGACTGATAAAAATCATTTTCCGTTCAAATGACCATAATTAATATCAGTACAATTAAAAAAGGAAATTAATAGGTTGAGTAGTGAAGGCGTCTAAACAATGTTAAAAACTGTTGAAATTAAACACAATGAATATAATCCCAAAGTGATGAACAACATCTAACAATAAAGAGTATAGAAGAATACAAAACTCATGGTCTTGAAGAAGATTAAAAAGAACAACCGCATTTGTCTCAATATGACCAACTTTAAACTTTGTTAACTGAAGGTTTCGTGTCTAAAAACTATATCTTGTTTAGATTATTTTTATCCAGTTGATAAAACATAGTGTTGTGACTGAGATCCTATTAGTCAAATAAAGTTCAGTAAATTTTGAGACAGTAAAAAATATTTTTTCTTGACCTCATTTATATATACTGAAAGGGTAAAATATTGTTCTAACCTAAGAATAAAAATGAGATCATTTGATTATTTTCTAATTTTAATAAAATTATAGACACCTGATAACGTTTCTCCTTCAATCAATGACAATATGACTGATTTACAAGCTGATGATACTAAATTCTCAAACGATAATCAATTGCTTCTTGACGGTCACATAAATAGTAATCTAAAAAGTACCGACAGTTGCGTCAATAAAAATATGAATGTATATCAGGTGAACAAAGTAAATCATGACAGTTTTTTTTTAGTAATTCTATTGAATTATTGAATTTTATTGTAAACTGATTAATTTTCTATTTCATATACAATTTTTCTATTGATTGTATCATTTAAAATATTTATTCAATTTTTTTTTGTCAATTTGTGTAACCGGATATACACCAAATAAATGGGTGGGATAAAAAATATATCTATATAATCGTATTACCATTGTTCCCTCCATATTTGTTGTATATTATGCTCCTTGTTCACTGATAAATCTTTTGAATACTAGTTAAAATTATAGAAAAAAATTCCTAGGACAACTGAACTTTCATATAATTAATTGTAAAAATTTGAAATAGTATTGAATTTTATTCATAGATAATAAAAGTATATTTACGTAGTAGTTTTTCACAAATACTACAAGTTATAATTTGTAAGCAAAATCATTCAGTTTTCAGGGTTAATTAAAGGGTTATGTAAAGTATAGTTTAATTATCATCTGTCCCTCAAATAAGCATAATTTATTTAGGTGTTATTTACATACTAGATCAATACATCAAGCCATATATTGTCCAATTGATCAATAATAAAGATAGTCTCTGTTCCTTCTTCGTTTTATAGTTGTAGTCTCTTTATACCGTTGTAGAACTACCGCTTATAATCATATGTTATTAATGCTGAAAAAGTACTGTTATTTTTTGGTTTTACTTTTCAAGTTCTCATTATTTTCGTGACCAACCAAACTGTATGATCCGGAAACTTCTTTTTTCCTCTCGTATCACTCACTGTATACTTGTAATACGTAATTTATAGTTGTTTTGGGTCTTAAGATTGGCTTTTCTTACAGCTTTAGGAAGTTCCAGTACAAGAGAAACTAGTTTTTTAATTCTTATTTTATCGCATCCAATGTTATGTTAGACTTGGACTTTTGTTCCCTTGCATCTCTTCAGATTCTAAATGATTACGTTCATCTCATACTCATTGTGATGTGTAGGTGGCCAATCTCTATTCTATTAAACACTAACTGTTCAACTATTGTGTTATTTATAATTTTGTTATCACGCTAAACTTATTCAATATCAACATTTCTTCTTGTATATATCGTGTATGGTATATTTTCCTATTTCTACTTATCCATGCAGGATGAAGTTACTCTGAATCTGTCTAGTTCAAATGTAGGTAACAAACAACTCACTGTGGTAAGTTTAAATTTGTACCACATAAAACTTTTTCTATTTGAAATTGTTTCCTATAAAACTTAGTATATGTGCATAAATTAAAAAATTCTTTTATACCTGACTTTCTGATCAGGATTGTTATATTTTCAAACCAACTTTTGAGACCTGATCAATTTTTATGTTTAAAAATTCTGTTGTCAACTAAAAACTGAATGTGTATAGTTTTGTAAACTGGTATCTGTATTTTATTATCATTTATGCAGTTTGTTAGTACTTTGTAAAATTCAAGATACCTTCCTATGATCTATAGTTTCAGTGTGTATAAGCTGATCCCGTCATTCGATTGTCTAGATTGTACTATATACAGCAGACGTTCTATTATTAACAGCCTAGTTATCGGGACGTTATAAAAACAATATCGATATCATGAAAAAAAAAAGAATTTACTTCTTACTCTAAAATGACAGTTAATATTTCATTGTAGAAAACCTGTCTTATCTAATATTGTAATGTTATTTGACTAGAATCTCAACAAACACTTTATTCAGATTTTATGATCTCATTAACATATATATATAGTTTTGTATCGTGTGGATGTTAAAGGAGCTAACGGAAACATTAAATGGGTTTAGAAGCACTGATAGATACGTGAATGAACCGATTATCTGGTAGCTAGACTATTTTCTTTAACCTGCTCTGTCAGGCTCTTTTCCATAAGTAAATAATGATTGAAGTTAAAATTTCTTCTCAATGTAGGATTCATCAAGCAGCTGGACCCTGTAGTTCAGCGAGTAGAATGTTGAGCTTATGGCCCAAAAACCAATTGTGTATGTTAGAATAAAATCTTTCTGGCTTCGTTATTATTGTTGATGAATTTCTAAATAAGTCTACCTACCAAGAAGTTTTATTCAACTTATGAAACTCCACTTTTCCTCACCTATTTCGACTAGATTACTAGCAAGCATTTAAGTAGCACACACCTTAATCTCTAATATAGATTACAGTAGTTGAGATTATTAACAAGCAAAACTGATTCCTTTCATTATGTACCTCTGTATTTATTATTTACAGACGTTTTTATGTGGTTGTATATTATTGGACAGATTTTTATGATTTACATACCTCATACATTTCAGTGAAGTATTAGGAAATCTGTTAGTATTTTCTTGATTTTCGAGAGAACGCAATGTTATTCAGTTTGGTGCTCCACTAGAAATTTATTCATTTCATACCATGTTTATTATATAAACCTACATTGCCCACAGATTTATTCGTTTCTTACTTTTAAAGTTTTCTTTTACTCCTATGTATTGATTCTTTTAAAATAATATACATTTTTAGATGTCATCTATGCTTCGTTTGTTGAAATTGTCTAGACCGGAATGTAAAAGTGTAACGTTAGGATGTATAGCTGCATCTATAACCGGTGGATTACAACCTATATTTGCTACATTATATTCAGAAATTTACTCTGTAAGTGGTATCGTAGTAACATGTAACATGTTTGGTAATATCTTTTATTAAAGCGTATAATGTTCACGGAACTCTAAATAGGCCTGCAATTATTTTTATCATTGTGATCTGTTAAAAACCATTGTCTGCCTTTGGTGATTTCTCTGTGTGATACAATACAATGCATATATTAAAGTTTGAATGGCTTTGTTTGGCTAATGTCTTGTAAAACGTTCCTAAATCTAGAGATTAATATTGATTCAAGGCGAAGTAGTAATAAGCTATCCGAGTCTAGTGATATCACGTGACCATTCTCACATGCCATCTGATAGGACCAGTCAGCAAGTGAGACACTATAAGTAAAGCACAATATTGGAGGTGGCTGGTTATGCGTTAAGTAAAGGTCTCAGCTGATAATTCCTTGTCTGGGTCAAAATGAGAAAGGAATATATACTAATGCTTTGTGTGTCTATTGATTCGCTTCGCCACTTTAAAGCTTTCTGATCATTTATCGATCTTTCCATGTGACCGATAATTTACTCAACCCTACAGCGTATTAATTATGTGAATTATTGAAGCCGACGAGTTGAAATGTGAGGAACATACCAACTCACTAAAAAGTTTGACAAAATGGTAAAACTTACTGAATAATCACTTGAACTATGCTTGCACACACATTTTCTGACCTCAGAATTACATACATAATGTTTTCATTATATCCGGGCCAAGTTGCCACACATTAGCACAACAAGATGAACACCGAATTCAAAGAAGCAGTTACTTCATTAGTAGTAATATGTAAAAAACGATTGCACATAAGGATATAAAACAGGGAGGAAGAATTAGTTCATAGAAAGAAAGGTATAAAGTAATTTTAATCTCATGATTTAAGGAAAGTCATATAGTGTATGCACCCAGGCCAATGTGGCTTTTTAGAGTCGAACTTTCCTAAGCACATCCTTTCTTGTGGGATGACGGCATCGCTGTTATGCTGATTGTCTGAAGGAAACACCTTACTGCCATCACACCTCTGTACTATAAACAGTACGACTTCGCCCTCGGATCTTAGATTTGCTGCTTTTAGTGTTACCGCTCTTCAACCGACCTGTCTGGCATGGTGCGACCTTGAGGAACGATTGTTCCAGCCAGTATAGCCCGACTGGTTTATCACGATAGGCAAAACCGACCACTACGTCAAGGTAGCGGCAATGGCCGGGACACATTACATGACATTCTATTTAGTTAATTATTCTGAGTTTTACTCTGGAACATGCTTACTTTGTTACAATTGCATCCTTAATTTTTAGTTAAACAGTACTTATCCTGTTCAATTCTGTTTTATTAAAGTGTATTGTTTTTTTGTGGTATTTATTAAATAACAAAATTGTCTAACCTTATTTTCACTAGATTTCGGTCACCAAATCACACTTCTCAATCGATCTATACTCTAACTTAACAAAATCACCTGACTATATACTTCCCCAAGTTTTTATTTGAAGAGATTTGTTCTTTTTTAAAAACTAACATCCATCAGGAAGTTAGTTTAGAAAATAAATATTGTCAAATAAGCAAAAAACTTTGGAAGCGTTGGTTGGAACAGATATAGAATATACCCAACCACTGTCTAACTAGACTCACGTTGTTTTTCGGTGTAGGAGTATATTGGAAAAGGTTGTGAAGGGGGTTAATCATTACGTGGGATTAGTCCATGAAGTCACTAAGTGTCGGTAGATGCAGACTGGTATGTTGAGGTTCGCTCTATTATCGTGACCAATGGTTGGAGACGCGAGTTTACATGATTCAAAATCGCTAGCACTCAGTCAGATAAATTCACAACTTGTCCTAATATATTTATCCTTCTTATTCCGAAAATTAATTTTGGTCTCGAATAATACTGTCTATCCAGAATCTTTCCCACTACTACAGACAATGTTACTACTCTTCTACTCTGGTAATTTTCTCCATAATTTCACCTCTCTGTACCAATGTAGTGTGGCGACAGATGCACATATGTTCCAGGTTATTTACGACTGACTGATTAGTATTGAAACCTAAGTGGAAAGCAATATTTTTTTGGTTTGTTCCGTCGTTTGTATGTTAAGGTTATACGTAGGAGATTATGAATTAGCTTCATCAAGTCATCCATCATCGTGGAAGTCATAGTCCATAATTAGCTACATATACGTAATAAAAGGCAATAAATAACTGCGAACGGTTGAAATACTCAGTTGTTTATGCATTTACACTGGTGGCTATGTTGTAATTCATTTTATTATTTTACTCACTTTTCACTTCATCAAAATAGAAACGTTTATTTGTTGAATTATATTTAACTTGTAGCAACCACTCCAGTTTATCCTTGCCGGAATAAATACAAAGCCAGACAACCATGTAACTAGTAGATGTGTTGTTTTTATCGTCCTAATAATCCTGTATTGATTTATACTTTGAAAATTCAAAAATTTCCAAAAACCAGTAAAATTCATATGGACACCAAAAAATTTCAGGAAGTTATTCCCGGAGTTTCTAAAGAGAATCGGCGGCCAGCGGAGTTTAGTCACGTCGTGTGTTATCCATCACAGACAGTTCAAGATGGTTGCGCAATATCACGAACTGACTGCAGTCAGACACGTATACCATTGGATGCCCCTCAGTGGTCTAAAGTTCGAACGTTCTTTGCGAGACCTGAAGGTCTCGGCTTCGATCACCTGTTGGTCTGTGAATGTGCTGCACTGAGGAGTCCCATACTAGAAGAAATAGATGTTGAGTGCTTCTTATTTTTCAGTGGTTCTCTTATTAAATTCAGTCTTTAAACTGAAAGTTCTGTACTTATTTCTCATAATTAATTATGAATTTTAATAAATATGCCCCCAAATGCCCTGGTACGGCCGAGAGTGGGGAAAGTCCGCTCTCCCTCTCGAAATGCTCTCACATGGCCATGCGTATATAGCCTCTGCCAGGGAAGTCCTACTCACTGCCTTCTCGTGGCGGGGGTGTTGTTTACAAAAATGAGAGGACGAAAAGCGAATGTCTGGCGCTTTAACCGGACCCCAAACCAATGGTGCACATGGGCTCCAGTATCCTGCGGGAACAAATGGCGTATGAACCAATCGTTGGTCACCGGCTACCATGGGACTGCATCTCCTCACGATGCTCCACTGCCTTGTGGATCAGATCTTCAGGTCAAAGGCTCGGGGTGTGGCCCCCTAAGAAAACCACCTGCTTCGGTTTGGGCACCCGGGCAGTATCACAGCCCTCACACAAATCAATTTAGATTTGTGTGGCGCATATGTATTTGGTGCCTCCCTGTACCTATACTTATGTGTTAAAATAAATAATAAATTTAATAAATATACGCTTCCTAAATGTGTTTGTCTGTTTATCTAATCATTGTATTGAACTTATGAACATATAAATACTTTCAGTGATTTGACTAATGATCCAAATCTACATTCCATCAGTTCACTCACTCTCGCTGTTTTTCTGTTTATCTGGATCGATGTAATATTAAAGGTCCAACACATTTTGTATTATACTTTTAATATCACACTATTTGAACTTGTTATACAACGAGATGAGTTAAAGTAAAATAAACCAAATTAGACAGAATTAAATAATAATTGGAGTCAGGTACGTCGACAAACTCTTCCCAGTGTGCTTAAGTAAAGTTGTACTTAAAACTGTTAACAGCGCTATTTTAGTTCATTTGATTCAAACTGGCCTTACAGCCAACATGGAGCAATCTTTCACGATAATATATCGTATTAACAGCAGTCTGTCTAAATCCTGCAGACGGCTGAAGCAATTGCTATTCTGATATAAAAAAAACCCAGAGCTTTGCGTTCAAAAGAAATATGTTCATCCGCATCTTTTATCCTGGCTAACTTCGGGCCTAATTAGTTAATAATCAATCTTATAATATGGTGACGTAATTTGATTGATGTTCATATTTATATTTTTCAAACTTATCCACAAATTTTATCATTGTTATAACATATGCCAACTTTTTTGAGAAATTTATTCAGCATCCAACCCTATTCATATTATTCTATATATTAAGTGATTTCTTATTTGTAATTACATTATTCTCTCTCTCACCCCATGTTGACCATATTTACCCTGATCATTTATATCACAATTTCATTTAATGTATAAGTTTATTCAAGCTAACACTTTATATTAGTCACCCCAAAATTAACGATTTTATTCTATTTTATGTATAACAAACAGTCCTTGATTCACATGTTAGAATTTTAAATGATGTACTCTTCCTTAAACCTGACCAATTTTATGGATTATTAATCAGGATGCATAATTGTAGAACCTGATGAGGAATTATTGTAAAGAATATTCTTCGTTCATATAATTGCTTTAATGTGATAGGAATTTTCCAGTGATAAACAAAAATAGTTCTTTCTATTTTATTTTTATTTCCGTTAGAAAAGGAATCATCGTTATTTTGTTGTTTATCTCAATGATGAATAAGTTGACGCTTTAATTCAATAGATTGCTTGAATAAAATTTATATTGCTTTCAAGCCTCTGACTAACTAGAAAAAAAGCATCGTCAAGTTACCAGTGAAACTTTAAGATTGTACAACCAAACCTCGATAAACCGATCTCTGCATTATCAATAACTATGATTTACGATATGTAACTCTTCACTAATCATATGCATGTTTTCCTGTGTATTTAAATGGTTATTAAATATATGTTTGTCTTAACCTTAGTATTACTGTTTATCTTTCTCAAAATACAGATTTTTAGTTTAGTTCAAAAACCTGATGAAATGCAAATTAGAGCTAATTTAGTCACAGGTATAATAGCTCTTTTGGGTTTGATTCGATTAGCCAGTTCCACTTTTCAGGTAAGTTAAATAGTTGTATTCAATATTTTCTTTCAAAATTACAATATTTTTAAGTAAATGTAATTCATTTACAAAGCATAGGTCTATGTACTTGGGTTTCAGTCGGTCATACACAACGTAGAACCTGACACGTTGACATCGATCGATTCAGGTTGCCATACCAAATTAGCACAGTGAAATGAAGTTACCAAAACAAATTTCAGATTAGTAGAGAAGACAGGTATAAAAGTGGAGATTTTGGGACCTACATTTTGAAGAAAGACAGAGTGGATTCACTCGCATTATTGCAGATGATTCTGAGCATTCCCTCCAGTCTCTAACCAGGTGGTCTGCACATATTATAAGAAACAATAACACATAATTACTTATGCCTGTTACCCCTTGTGGAGCGTAGGCCACTGACCAAGATCCTCCATCCAACTTCTTCCCAGTTGTTTCCAATTGCTATTCATTCTTTTGATATCCCAGCGCAATATATTCATTTGTTTGCCTCTTTTCTTTTTCCCTTTCGGATCTCAGGTTGGGGCTTGCCTCGTAATAGTCTGATGATTTCCGTAATGTATATCCTATCCTACCTCCAGTGTCTTTTCCAAATTTCCGCTTCAGTTGTCAGTATAAATATTTGGGATTCGCGTTTTTGTCTAGTTGAAATTCTCAGTGTAACATTTAATTAGTATGTTTTAATTCATGAATTATAATTTATTACTGTCTATTTACAATTTTATTCCTCTTTCTATTCTCAAGGGTTATTTTCTCGGTGTTGCTAGCCAAAAACTAACTAAACGTTTACGTCAAAATTTATTTGCATCCATATTAAAACAGGTGAGTTAATGGTTATTTCAAACAAACCGTATGTAAATTGATCCTGCTAACCCTAATAAATACATGCAAAAATCTAAATGTCCATATCAGTTAACTGTTCAGGCAAATTTCATTTCAGTCCGAAATTTTGATTAACTTTTCCCGTCCTTATTTGCAAAATCTTATAACTATCCCAATAAAAACAACCTTTTTAATTCTAGATTCATAGACATGGCTCACACTGAATAATCAACGATTATTTATTTATTTGAACACATAAATATTAGTACAAGGGTGCACCAGATACATATCTGCCACACAATAATAATGAGAATGTTAAGAGATAAAGAATGTAAGGTGCGTGTAAAAAGAAAAAAAGAACAATAACGACCACAAATTAGTGTATAATAAAAATTGAAGAAATAGAAAGATACAACCAGTAGAATTTTTTCACTTAGATAGGTAAGACCACTTTTTATGAAGAAAGTAAAAGGTTACAAAAAGATCGCCACTGGTTTCTATTCTAAGCCATATCTGGTAACGTTTCTAGCCACTGTGTTCCACTATCTCTAGGACCCCAGCCAGAGAGTCTTGAAAGACCAACAGAAGCCAGTTCTGTACAGCTTTCTTTCACGCCATGATGCCATGTCATACACTGACCACCTCTCCGCTTTTTCCAACTAGTCCCGGATTCGATTCTCGGTCGAGGAGTCGGCTTTGCCCCCAAATGCCCTGGTAAGGCCGAAAGTGGGGTGTGTTCGCCCTCCCACTCGAAATACTCTCTTACGGCCACGTGTATACAGCCTCTGCCAAGGAAGTCCTACTCACTGCCTTCTCGTGGGGGGGGTGTTGTTTACGAAAATGAGAGGACGAAAAGCGAACGTCCGGCGCTTTACCGGATCCCAAATCAACGGTGAACATGGGCTCCAGTATCCTGAGGGAAAAAATAACGTATGAACCAAACGTTGGTCACCGGCTTCAATGCGACTGCATCTCCTCACGATGCTCCACTGCCTTGTGGATCAGACGTTCAGGTCGAATGCTCGGGGTGTGGCCCCCTAAGAAAACCACCTGTTTCGGTTTGGGCACCTGGGCAGTATCACAGCCCTCACACATATCAAATGAGATCTGTGTGGCGCATATGTATTTGGTGCCTTTTTGTACCAATATCTATGTGTTAAAATAAATATACTGGTAATTAATGCAATTGTCCCAATTGAATCACCAAAAAGAAAAGATTACTGCTTCCACCGAATACGAATACTGAAACAGTCTTTCGGAAACCACGCACATCATTCAAATTGGCTGCCTTCAACGTTCGCACACTAATGCAGATCGGGCAACAGATAGGGTTGGCTATGTCTTTAGAAAGTCTTAATATCGACGTCTGTTGTCTATCCGAGACCCGTATTCAAGAATCTAGTAAAGTACTACAAATTCGCTTCAAAAAGCTTGTTTTACGTGTGTTTATCCGGGGACCCTGTGGCATCTTCGTCTGGTCTTGCTGGCGTTGGTGTCGCACTAAGCGCTAGAGTTGAGGCAGCACTAATCGATTGGATCCAATTAACAGTCTGTTATGTGCTGTTAGATTAGAAAGCTCCATCAAAGTGAGAAATCGGCGTGAGAAACGATGTCTTTTCGTCATCTCCGCCTATGCTCCGACAGATTGCAGCCCGAATGCAATCAAGGACGAATTATACCACCAGTTAACTGTTCTTCTCCAGAAAGTGCGTTCGACAGATATTGTAGTACTAGCCGGAGACTTGAATGCTCAGGTCGGGCGTCTAGGCACAGAAGAGAGTCGTTTAGGTGGCCGATGGGGACTTGTTGGTCTCAGGACAGATAACAGGGACCGTCTACTGCGACTGTACACAGGCCACAACCTGTTTCTGGCTAGCACTAACTTTCGGCACGGTCATCGCCGATGCGCCAACTGGCGTCCTCCTTCTGCATCTCAAGCCTGGACTCAGGTTGATTACATCGCGATCAGCTACCGCTGGCGTGGTTGTGTACAAGACTGCCGCTCCTTTTGGAGTACCTATCTGGAATCTGATCATGCCCTGGTCTGCGCCAATCTTACCTTACTTTTCAGTGGACAACGAAGTGACCGCCACCAAAGGATTGATGTTAGCAAGCTGGCTGCAACTTCTGTTGCTAGTAAGTACCGAACCGAGCTAGGTCCAAGGCTAACTACCATTCCACCGAAAAGTATAGATGAGCATTGGTTGCAATTGCATGACGCCATGAAAATGGCGGGTCAAGTCAGTTGTGGGTTCGCGAAACGTCCCGCTTATGAGCACTGGTTTTCTTCAGGCTCCTTACAACTCATCGAAGCCCGTCGGTCTACTCCGGGTGACTGTGAGTTTGACCACAGACGAAGGATGTTACGTAATGAAATCGGGCAAAGCTTGAGTAAGGACAGAGAAGCCTGGTGGTTGGAGCGTGCTAATAAACTGGAAGCAGCAGCTGCATCTGGTAACTACCGGAAGCTCTTCCAACTCATCCGAGCCACTGGCAGCAAGAAGTCTGGTGTGAGCGAAACAATATGCGGGGATGACGGAACGCCAATCACTAACATCCATCGACGTCTTGGACGATGGGCAGAATTTTCGAAGGGCAGTTCAACTGGCCTGCTGCTCCGGCAATATCGTCCAGACTGTCCTGCCCTCCATGGCCGGTGACGACTGATCCACCAAATGAGGCGGAAGTCTGAAGGGAACTCCAACTCTCGAAACGCTAAAAACCACTGATCCCAGATGACCTGCCTGCGGTTCTTTTTAAAGATGGCAGTGACATTCTGGTTAAGGAACTGACGACGATGTTTACAAATGTCTGGGAGCTAGAGAGTGTTCCAACAACATGGAATGAGTCCATAGCTGTCCCTATCTTTACAAAGGGTTCACGTCGTTTCTGTAACAACTATCGGAGGATAAGTCTACTTCCGATTGCGTCCAAGATATTGGTTCCGTCATACTTCGTAGGTTGTTCAAAACCCGAGAAAGATTGACTCGCGAGGAGCAGGATGGGTTTCGTTCCGATCGAGGATGTATTGATCATATCTTCACCCTCCGCTAATTGTTAGAATACCGCCATACTTACCAAAGGCCAAAAATCGTAGTGTTTCTTGACATAAGGGCTGCCTTCGATTCGTTGGATATGACTGTTCTCTGGGAGTGTCTACTGAAGAATGGTGTGCCTGAGAAGTTTATTAACATCCTAAAAGCCCTATATACAAACACCTCAGGTAGAGTGAGAGCATACAACCACCTTTCTCTACTGTTCCATTCAAGCAGTGGGGTTAGACAGGGTTGCCCAATCTCACCATTCCTCTTCAACTTTGCCATCGATTACATTCTGGAAACAGCTCTGATGGATGTAAGTAATGGTGGTGTGGATCTGTTGCCTGGAGAAAGACTTCTCAACCTTGAGTATGTGGATGATATAGTATTACTGTGCGAGAATGCCCAAGCCATGCAATCCGCACTTAATCAGTTGGGAAATCAATGTCCGTAGGTATGGTATGTGCTTTGCACCTTCGAAGTGCAAAGTACCTCTACAAGACTGGCAGGATTCTAATCCTGTACTCACTCTGGATGGTGAGCAAATTGAAGTAGTCGAGAAGTTCGTGTATCTAGGTAGCTGCATAAGTGCTGGTGGTGATGTGAGTGATGAGATCAATGCACGTATAGTGAAAGACAGAGCGGCTTATGCTAATCTGGGCCATCTTTGGCGCCCTCGTGATGTTAGTCTGGCTGTAAAAGGTCGGATCTACAACGCGTCGGTGAGAGCAGTTTTGCTCTATGCTTGTGAAACCTGGCCTCCGAGTTGAGGATGTTAGACGACTCTCTGTGTTCAATCATCATCACCATCTTAAAACACCGACATGTTATACAAATGTCGTGCTAGAGAATTCCTCGTCGTGCATTATTTGATGACTCTGGGGCTTGTTGGAAAAAGCGGAGAGGTGGTCAGTATGTAACATGGTGTCGTGGTATGAAAGAAAGCTGGCTTGTGTTGAACCTTCACGATTCCGTGGCTGGGGTCCGAGAGATGGTGTAACACAGTGGCTAGAAACGTTATCAGATATGGCTCAGAATAGGAGCCAGTGGCGATCCTGCTGTAACCTTTTATCTTCATAAAAAGTGGCCGCCTCTTCCTTAACTGTAAGATTTCCTCTGATTGAACTTTTTCGTTTCCCCGATTATTGTTCTTTTTTTTTATAATTCCCTACGTTCCTTACCTTTTTTCCCTTCTCTTTAAATTCTCATTGTTTTGTGTAGCGAATATATATTTGGTGCCCCCTTGTACCAATATTTATGTGTTTAAATAATCAAATAACACTCCTGTAATAAAGTTGAGAATGCAGTGGTACTACAAAAGGAGCGGCAGTCTTGTACACAACCACGCCAGCGGTAGCTGATCGCGATGTAATCAACCTGAGTCCAGGCTTGAGATGCAGAAGGAGGACGCCAGTTGGCGCATCGGCGATGACCGTGCCGAAAGTTAGTGCTAGCCAGAAACAGGTTGTGGCCTGTGTACAGTCGCAGTAGACGGTCCCTGTTATCTGTCCTGAGACCAACAAGTCCCCATCGGCCACCTAAACGACTCTCTTCTGTGCCTAGACGCCCGACCTGAGCATTCACACCAGACTTCTTGCTGCCAGTGGCTCGGATGAGTTGGAAGAGCTTCCGGTAGTTACCAGATGCAGCTGCTGCTTCCAGTTTATTAGCACGCTCCAACCACCAGGCTTCTCTGTCCTTACTCAAGCTTTGCCCGATTTCATTACGTAACATCCTTCGTCTGTGGTCAAACTCACAGTCACCCGGAGTAGATCGACGGGCTTCGATGAGTTGTAAGGAGCCTGAAGAAAACCAGTGCTCATAAGCGGGACGTTTCGCGAACCCACAACTGACTTGACTCGCCATTTTCATGGCGTCATGCAATTGCCACTGGATGTCAGCAATCCTTCGGAGACAGCGATGATCGAACACAGAGAGTCGTCTAACATCCTCAACTCGGAGGCCAGGTTTCACAAGCATAGAGCAAAACTGCTCTCACCGACGCGTTGTAGATCCGACCTTTTACAGCCAGACTAACATCACGAGGGCGCCAAAGATGGCCCAGATTAGCATAAGCCGCTCTGTCTTTCACTATACGTGCATTGATCTCATCACTCACATCACCACCAGCACTTATGCAGCTACCTAGATACACGAACTTCTCGACTACTTCAATTTGCTCACCATCCAGAGTGAGTACAGGATTAGAATCCTGCCAGTCTTGTAGAGGTACTTTGCACTTCGAAGGTGCAAAGCACATACCATACCTACGGACATTGATTTTCCAACTGATTAAGTGCGGATTGCATGGCTTGGGCATTCTCGCACAGTAATACTATATCATCCACATACTCAAGGTTGAGAAGTCTTTCTCCAGGCAACAGATCCACACCACCATTACTTACATCCATCAGAGCTGTTTCCAGAATGTAATCGATGGCAAAGTTGAAGAGGAATGGTGAGATTGGGCAACCCTGTCTAACCCCACTGCTTGAATGGAACAGTAGAGAAAGGTGGTTGTATGCTCTCACTCTACCTGAGGTGTTTGTATATAGGGCTTTTAGGATGTTAATAAACTTCTCAGGCACACCATTCTTCAGTAGACACTCCCAGAGAACAGTCATATCCAACGAATCGAAGGCAGCCCTTATGTCAAGAAACACTACGATTTTTGGCCTTTGGTAAGTATGGCGGTATTCTAACAATTAGCGGAGGGTGAAGATATGATCAATACATCCTCGATCGGAACGAAACCCATCCTGCTCCTCGCGAGTCAATCTTTCTCGGGTTTTGAACAACCTACGAAGTATGACGGAACCAATATCTTGGACGCAATCGGAAGTAGACTTATCCTCCGATAGTTGTTACAGAAACGACGTGAACCCTTTGTAAAGATAGGGACAGCTATGGACTCATTCCATGTTGTTGGAACACTCTCTAGCTCCCAGACATTTGTAAACATCGTCGTCAGTTCCTTAACCAGAATGTCACTGCCATCTTTAAAAAGAACCGCAGGCAGGTCATCTGGGATCAGTGGTTTTTAGCGTTTCGAGAGTTGGAGTTCCCTTCAGACTTCCGCCTCATTTGGTGGATCAGTCGTCACCGGCCATGGAGGGCAGGACAGTCTGGACGATATTGCCGGAGCAGCAGGCCAGTTGAACTGCCCTTCGAAAATTCTGCCCATCGTCCAAGACGTCGATGGATGTTAGTGATTGGCGTTCCGTCATCCCCGCATATTGTTTCGCTCACACCAGACTTCTTGCTGCCAGTGGCTCGGATGAGTTGGAAGAGCTTCCGGTAGTTACCAGATGCAGCTGCTGCTTCCAGTTTATTAGCACGCTCCAACCACCAGGCTTCTCTGTCCTTACTCAAGCTTTGCCCGATTTCATTACGTAACATCCTTCGTCTGTGGTCAAACTCACAGTCACCCGGAGTAGACCGACGGGCTTCGATGAGTTGTAAGGAGCCTGAAGAAAACCAGTGCTCATAAGCGGGACGTTTCGCGAACCCACAACTGACTTGACCCGCCATTTTCATGGCGTCATGCAATTGCAACCAATGCTCATCTATACTTTTCGGTGGAATGGTAGTTAGCCTTGGACCTAGCTCGGTTCGGTACTTACTAGCAACAGAAGTTGCAGCCAGCTTGCTAACATCAATCCTTTGGTGGCGGTCACTTCGTTGTCCACTGAAAAGTAAGGTAAGATTGGCGCAGACCAGAGCATGATCAGATTCCAGATAGGTACTCCAAAAGGAGCGGCAGTCTTGTACACAACCACGCCAGCGGTAGCTGATCGCGATGTAATCAACCTGAGTCCAGGCTTGAGATGCAGAAGGAGGACGCCAGTTGGCGCATCGGCGATGACCGTGCCGAAAGTTAGTGCTAGCCAGAAACAGGTTGTGGCCTGTGTACAGTCGCAGTAGACGGTCCCTGTTATCTGTCCTGAGACCAACAAGTCCCCATCGGCCACCTAAACGACTCTCTTCTGTGCCTAGACGCCCGACCTGAGCATTCAAGTCTCCGGCTAGTACTACAATATCTGTCGAACGCACTTTCTGGAGAAGAACAGTTAACTGGTGGTATAATTCGTCCTTGATTGCATTCGGGCTGCAATCTGTCGGAGCATAGGCGGAGATGACGAAAAGACATCGTTTCTCACGCCGATTTCTCACTTTGATGGAGCTTTCTAATCTAACAGCACATAACAGACTGTTAATTGGATCCAATCGATTAGTGCTGCCTCAACTCTAGCGCTTAGTGCGACACCAACGCCAGCAAGACCAGACGAAGATGCCACAGGGTCCCCGGATAAACACACGTAAAACAAGCTTTTTGAAGCGAATTTGTAGTACTTTACTAGATTCTTGAATACGGGTCTCGGATAGACAACAGACGTCGATATTAAGACTTTCTAAAGACATAGCCAACCCTATCTGTTGCCCGATCTGCATTAGTGTGCGAACGTTGAAGGCAGCCAATTTGAATGATGTGCGTGGTTTCCGAAAGACTGTTTCAGTATTCGTATTCGGTGGAACCATTCAACTTCCGAACAAGCAGTAACTCGAGAACGTTTAGATGGAACAGATTTTCCACCATAGGCGAGCTGCTGTATAAGTTGAAAGTTGGGGATACATGAAGTGAGAATTTAGGTAGATACTTAGCGTAGTGTACAAAAAATAGTAATAATAATAATGAGTGTTATCAAGTGAATGCGGAATGCCTGAATTCTTTTTGGAGCAAGCATAGTATTTCGTGGAATAATTTTCATTTCATCAGATTTGTGTGAGGGCTATGATACTGCACGTGTGCCTAGACCGAAGCAGGTGGTTTCCTTAGGGGACCACAACCCGAGCCTTCGACCTCAAGGTCTGATACACAAGACAGTGGAGCATCGTAAGTAGATGCTGTCCCATGGTAGCCGGTGACCAACGATTGGTTCATACGTCATTTATTTCCTCAGGATCCTGGAGCCCATGTGCAACATTGGTTTGGAATCAGGGTTTTCCCACTCCTCCAGGTGAACGTTCTGTGTCCACCAACTCGTTTAAAGCGCCGGAGTTTCAATTTTCGTCCTCTCAGTTTCGTAAACATACCCCCGTCACGAAAAGGCAGTGAGTAGGGCTTCCCTTGCAGTAGTTGTATTCACATGGTCATATGATAGCATTTCGAGAGATAGAGTGGACTCTCCCCACTTTCGATCCTACCAGGGCATTTGGAGGCATCAATGAATAAAATAAAACTAACTGAATATGACTGTAGTACTGCTAAATCACTTTATCCGTCTTTAAATATAATCTTAGTTAAACACATTATTCATGAATCAAGATTATTCATCCCTTTTTAAATGTCTGATACATGAAATCTACAAGCCTGGTCAACATAGATTATTTGTATATTTTTCGATAATACTGATAAATGAAGTATATTTAAATGTATTTCGTTGTTGTTTTATTTAAGAAAAATGTAAATATATTTCAAACTTTTAACATACATAAAATAGAACAACTCATTTGTTTAGATGATTAGTTCCAAGACAGTTCATCAATACAAAGTGAACATTATATGATTGAACGAATTAAATTCATCCAGATATATGTATAGATGACTAATGTAAATATTATCACAATCACTACGATACAAGGAAGATCTAGGTTGCGTTATATATATATGTGTTGTCACGTTTACATTTTTAATGAACTGTAAACCATATATATATGATTGATTTTCAATTGTATTCAATGAAATCTTCATAGATCATACGATTTGTTTTCAAATTTAGTTTTTATTTTTAGGTCAGTTAACTCAATATTGTTTTCAGATGGTCATACAACAATGAAAATCAACTCCCCCCTACCCATATAAAAAATTAACAATGAAATACTAGGGTTAACATGTACGATTCATGATTTGACTTCTAATCACTATCAATGTTTCAAATATTAGTTATTATAGAAATGTTTTTTAAATGAGTCGATACTTATTTCTTACAAATGTTTCTGTGTTTATGTATATTGCTTTAAGGAAATGGCTTGGCATGACAAACCAGAAAATAATCCTGGTGTTCTATCATTCATATTAACATCGGATGCAAATAAAGTGAATACATTTTGCGGTACTTCATTAGGTCGTCTAATCGAATCAGCCATATTGGTAATATTTTCATTGACAATTGCCTTTGTATATAACTGGAAGTTGACTTTGGTGGTATTGGTTTTCTCTCCGGTCACTATATTATCAAGTTATCTACAGGTTTGTATTCTCATTATTATTATTTATTCATAATAATATTTAGCGCTTCTTACTGACCAAATACGGATTTATGTACTCAACTTTGAATCAGTGTTTCTATGAAGGCTACTTATACTACCAAGGGGGCTCAAGATGACGTATTTGTGGTGTGTGTGATTCGAACTTATGACCTACTACTGTTTGATAGTTGAATCCGCTCATCATTAACCCACTGTTTCATTCTAGCTTTTTGGTCTTGTATTTCTTGTATAGCACATTAATTTGTTGTTATTTCTTAAAATATTTGTTTACTTCGACTACTGAGGCCAATACAAGCTAACCATACATATAAACAAATTTCTGTGTCTTTTCTTCAAATGAGTATGAAATCCTATTATTCGTGATCTCCAAATTAGGGTGTGTGAACATGTACCTAAATGGTTGCAGATACAAATGGAATCAAATGACCCAATAGGAGTAGAGGATAAACATCCATCATCCTCTATTGCCAAACACATAATTGAAACAGGTCATAAGATTGATCTTAACTGGGCTTTTGTGGTGTTGTACAAAAGTGTAAAGGGGCGCATACTAAGGCTTATTGAAGCCTTAGCCATACGAAAATTCAAACCTCCTCTGTGCATTCAAAAACAGTTTGTTCTTACCTTAAACCTACCCTGGTAATATTAGCTTATTATCCAGAGTGATGAGGTTTCAAATTGTTCTCACATTATTTCTTTATTATCCTTGTCTCCCCTTACCTTCCATTTCTAGCCGAGTTGACCTTTTATTTTTTATATAAATGTTCTTAACAAGTATGTGTGTGATCAGATTGTTCGAAATGTATTGCGCTAATATACCACATTGTTCTGATTATCTTCGTCTTCTTATTACACTATCGAAATTTATCAAGGGGACTACTTGCTTTAAACTAAACTAAGTTGATAAATTTTGTTTTAATCAAAAACCCATTCTGGGAGCTAATATTTCTTTATGTGTAAATCATTGTGACAATCCTTATAGCTCTAAATTGTCTCATCATTTTTTCAGACTTTTGAATACAACTAACTTGTGTCGTTTTTCTAGCATTAGACATAATGTTATTTGATTTCACAAGGGTAACATTTTCTCATTCAAACACCTAAATTTACTCAAACGACCTGACAGATATCAATAGGTAGACTTGATTGATCATTGTGTAATAACTTGTTATATCAAGTCCTCCCTAGTGTTAATCGAATTCTATCGATCAAGTTGCAGCGTGGCCACATTACTTCTCCGTCCCATAAGAGGTCGACTGCAGTCCCAATAGCTAGGTGACAAGGAATTGAATCCACCAGGTATCATCAGTTCCGTCAAGATTACACGTGCACCTTGATTAACGAGTACCAGTTAGCACAATAGATGTGTCTAAGGTTCCCAGTCTACTACCTTCAGCCATCTTAGAAATCATTTCGGCGAATTTCACCATTGATCGTTGATAATTAATTCCAATTTCGTTGAACTTTAATTCTACTAAACAAGTACTATACACAAAGCATACTAAATAAATATAGAACATTGTATTCCAACACAACTAATTATTTTCATCTACATGCTATCGGTAAATAAAAGTTTGTGAAATATTCTTTTCTTCACTTCGTTATCTGTAACACAGCTTCGACAAATTCATGTCAATTCTAATGTTAATAATGAAACTATGGCTGCTCGTATTATTTACGAAGCTCTTAGTTCAGCAAGAACTGTATATGCTTATGGTTTGGAGAATTATTTTTGTAAACATTATTCTACTGTATTAAATTTAGAAATGACGTAAGCTTTTTGGTATAAATGATGTAATTATTAATGTGTGATTGTATTAATAGTTGATTTTTAAAGTAGTGATTCTTTTTTTAATTTACTATGAAAATTTATCACAATTTTGTCATTTTCACCTAAATTTATCGTGATTTATTTAAAACTTGGTGAAGTGGTGGCTTAGTGGTTAAAGGGTTTGGTTCTCAACCACTAAGTTCTATGCTCGAACCCTGCCCCACATACCTCAGTTTTTGCAACTGGATAGTATTATAAGCTTTCACATTTAGATTATGGCTCATACCCAAGTACTTGGTGAACGGTTGGATTTAAAAACTTTTTAAAACTGTGATGCTATTTTCAGCTTTCAAGTAGTTGCTCAATACAGTTTGTATTCTCGAAGTTAATTGTAGTAATATACTAGTTAGTCAGTAATACACAATGTTGGACCTGATGTGAATGTACTTTGGTTCAATTTGTCACTCCTCATATTTGTGTAGATCGAAAGAAGAAATTAATCGAATCAGAACCAGATGAAAAGAAACAGTATTAATTATGATGAAGAATTAAACAATGAGAAATATATTTTGCAAAGCAATAAATTGGATCAAAGAAAAATAAAAGTATAGAAGTTACACTCAACTGAAAATTGAGAGGAATATTAAGAACTAATATAACCGTCTCTTCACTACGATATCATTTTTGGTTCTTATCACTTAACTTCTCCATTGATAGATTAAGTGTGTTTAATGGGTTCCAACTAGTAGATGTGTAATAAAATTAAATGGATATACTTAGGATATTTTGCCTAATCAAGAATTTTATAATTACTTACTTCATCTCCGTTATATGTTCTGCCATCCAAACTACCTCAGTTTTCTATATGAGATACTGAGTAGAAAAGATCTATTCGTCGGTTAACAAGTGGCTTGATCATACCAGGTTCCCAGTACGTGTTGTTATTGTATCATCCGAAGGATGTAATACGATCATTGCGCTACGTGATTCGATCTTATTGAATGTTTGATCTACAGCGAAACTATGATTTACGGAAAGAATTTCCCAGGACAGGGTTGGATGGAGAATGCTGGTGCGCGGTCTATGCTCCTTCGCGAGGATTAACAGGCTCAACATGTATGATTTATGGATGAACTAATCAAATTTAAGATATCAGGTCTTGGATTTTGGTGCGAAATTCATTCGTCCATTTGGCTAAATAGCGTTTTGCCATTTTAGCTGATGCCAGTTCGTGATGAAAACCCTAACCCTACCCACTAACTGTAAATGGTGGTCCAGACATTCCACTTCTTCTTCTAAAACTGTTTACTCTCTCTATAGAAACTGGTTCTTACCCTTGCTGTTGGAAAACTGCGTACATCATACCACGTTATAAATCTGGAGATAAGACTGACATGAACAATTATCGGCCAATAAATATTACTCCAGTAATCTCTAGGATTATGGAAAAAATTATAAGTGATGAACTTTCCAACTATTTACTCGCTGGAAAATTTATCAATGATACTCAACATGGATTTCTCAAAAATCGATCTTGCATGACATGTCATTTTGACTTCTTTAATTTAGTCTACTCTCTACGTAGCCAAGGATATCTAGTCTTAGTGTTATATCTGGACATTTCTAAAGCCTTTGACATGGTTAGTGACCAACTTCTTATAGGTAAACTCGCATCTTATGGGGTTCAAAATCCTTTGCTAGATGGGATTGATTCATTTCTCAGCAATCGACATCAAATAGTTAAAATTAACTCTTCATTGTCTAACGCTGTCCCTGTTAGAAGTGGTGTAATACAAGGTAGTGTCTTAAGTCCTTTGCTCTTTTTAGTGTTTATTAATAACATTTGTGAAAATTTTTGTGTAGGTAAGCCCCTTCTATATGCAGATGATCTTAAAGTAGTATATTCATTTTCTCCACGTGAGCTGGAAAATATGCAAAATTGCATCAACTTGGAGTTTAACAAGGTAGCACAGTGGTGCTTAAAATGGCAACTAAAACTTAATACGGCTAAATGTGGATGGATATGCTTAAGCGATACATCACTTAACCTAGACCTTACCATAAATGGAGAAGTGTTATCTAGGTTACATACAGTAGTAGACTTAGGACTTAGATAATCCCAAGACTTATCGCTTACAGAACAGATATCGAAACAGACCTCCAACGTCTAGTAGGTTACATAATTCGAAACCTTCATAACAATGAGTCACGTATTTTAATGTACAAAGTTTGTGTTCGACCTTTTCTCGAATATTGCACGTTTATTCTTAGTAGTGCGCGCATAAAAGATAAATTAAGGCTGGAATCAGTACAGAGACGATTTACACTTCGTATTCTTGGAGCTGATTGTACCTTAACTTATAATTCTAGGTGTAAAAAACTAGGGCTAGACGCTTTATGGAAGAGGAGACTCAAACTAAATCTTAATAAACTATCCTTTACATCCAATCACGTAATTCAATACGCAGAAACTCCTCATTAAGAAACCCGCAATTCCTTGGCACTGGTGAAACAAACTTTTTCTAAATCATCTCTTTATATGAACTACTTTGCCTGTAAATTTTCTAGACTCTGGAATAACCTACCACAACATATCCGTACGATAAAATCACTCCCATTATTTGTACGTTGCATCGATGCATACTGCTCCTCTGAAAATGCATTGAATGCTCTAGCACTTGCAAGTGTATCTCACTACACAAGTGTTATTATAGGAACTTTAAATGTTTAGGCATTTTTATTAGTGCCTTCTCTGGATAAAACCACCTACTTGCTGTCACTTTATGTTAATACCGTCCCCAGCAAGTTTAACTAATTTGAATAGCATCAACAGTATATCACTGTGTCACATGACATACGCATTTTGATAGATCTGATTGACATATTTCGGTAATTACTGCTTTGTTGTTCCGTGCTCTCTGTTTTCGTTTTGATTTTTCTAGTTGTAGATATTTATCATTAAATCGATCTGGCACACGAAATGACCTTAATTTACACCGTTCATAAATCAACAAGCTGTCCAGTTAAGAAATACTAAATGTTCCAGGCTGATGCATTCGATCGTTGCAATACCTAAACAATTACTGAACTAGTAACCTTAAAACTCCTATCACATGTTTGTTCCGTACATATAATGATATTATTTATACCAAATTGATCATGCCTGTAAACTGGCGTGAATTCTGTAATTATTATTTTTTCAGAATATAAAATTATTATTATTATTCCTCATACTGGTTTATAACCCTCATTTAGTCCTAGTTAGTAGGTGCACATTCTCAAGGTCACTTTAGCATCGCTCAAAGGTCGTCCACAAATTGTAGTCTCACCTGATTTACTTCTCAGAAAACCTGAATTCGATATCCAATCTGATATTTGATTAATAATGGAAATTGTCTTTAAGTTCTATACACTATTGTTATGTCGTTACAGAAATAAATGAGTTATTTTTTTAAAGAAAAATTTATTTCCATTTTCTCTTTTTTTAATCTACAATTCAGTGCTGGCAATCGTACTTTTACAATTTATTCATTTGTCTATGCCTTAGCCCAGTCATTGCCAATTTGTTCTTATGCTGCTACATTTTCTTATGGAGCCTATTTAATGAGTTTAGAAGAAATTAATTTGACTGGAATATTCAAGTATGGTTTTATATTAATATGTTTATCATTGGTTTTGTTAATTGCTTATCTTCGAGAGAATATTTAGTGTTGAAGGAATTTATGAATCGTAGACTGTTTGAAATGAGCTACATTCAGGTTATATAATAAACAAGACACCATCGGTTATATCACAAAGTAAACTAATGCTTACATCTGAGCTTCACTTCGTGGGCCATAGATCATATCCATCTGTTATGTAAATTGATTGTATTCAATTAACTGCGCTTTATCAAAGAAACTTAACATAATTTCTTTCTTTTTATCTTTATTTATGTGCTTATAACATCAGAACAAAATAATTATGGATTAATAATGAAAACTGAATTTCAATTGAAAGCTTGAAAAACTTTATTTTAACCTATTTTCTTATGCAACAGTCCATGAAGTTATTGAATGTTGAACTCAATTTCGTTAGTAGGTACAAACTACAGGTTGAGATTTGTGCGATTATTGTGATGAATTTTTAGAGTCGTTGTCTGGTATAATGTAGAATCGGTTGCAATAGCCCAGTTGTATTCATTCTTTGTTTTTCCTTAAACCTTGAATTTAAAAATTAGCTTATAGTTATTTGTTTGATTTTATTCTTTCTCAAATCACATTGTATGTGTCTAGCCGTTTCTAGTACTGCCGATACTTACTATTTCTACTACTCTGACGTTTAACTTGATAATTTCATCTCTTTGTGGTGATTTGGTGTGGTAACTTAAACTGATGTCCCAGGTTCTACGTTATTTATGACTGACTAGTCCATAATGACAATAATAATCTTTATCTGCATATTCTATTATAATGAAGCATCTCTTAAAAATTTATGGATCAAATAGTTTGGTGAATAAGCCATTCGACTTTTAGTCACTAGTCATACGTTCGAATAATCTTCACACCAACAGTGTGACTCAAAGCCCTCAGTAAATAAGCGTGTAATTAGTAAATGTGTAACAGTAGTATTAGGAATTATAGATATATTTTATCATGATTATTATGTCATTCGATATTTTTTAAAAAGAAAAGTTATTCTAATCACTGTAACTTACGATAAATCGATTATATTTCTAGAAAAATCGAATTTACTTGTGGCGGATTGGTTTTTTGTGCATAGTAATTGAGTGCGCCACAACCTTAGCTTTTTTATTTATTTAATCTATTGGTTATACATTTAAAATGGTATAAATTTGATCACAAAACTTTTTTCTTTTGTGAATGAGAAATGTAAACACTCACTGAGTTTCGTGACCACCGTAATATTATCTCAGCTTAAATCATTTACTCACTAGTGACTAATTTCAAGATGTAATTCCTGGATTTCTAGTGAGAAGTGATTATTAGAGTTCTACCGTGTCGGGTATGGAGCAATTACCCACCAAAGATAATGGTTGGTTATTGAGCGAATTCGCGAATCGATTGAGGCTTGGAATGTACGTCACTAAATATCGGCTCACTGATCTAAAAGTTGAACGTTTACTGCGAAATCTGAGGATAATGAATGCGCACTGATGAGGTAACCCATACCAGGACGAAAGAGTTGTCCATTAGCTCCTGATCTTCAGTGGATGTCTAACACAAATCCTTTCGTGATCTCGATTGCATATCTTCTCTCTGCCTTTTCTTGTTTTGTTAGTAAACAAGAGAAAAAGAATATTTTTCATTCGATTGACTAAAGATTTAATATGATTTCTCTAGTTTTCATCTCGCTTCTATTTGTGTACTCTTTCGTCTAATCGTGGAAAAATATCTTACTGTCATAATCTGGGGAGTTGAAAGAATTTTAAAAAATTTGCCAGTAGTAATACACTTTGGATCAATAAACTTTAGGGGAAAAGTGATTGGCTATATTTCTGATGATGTATTAGGATCCCTAAAAGAATAAATAGTATATATGTTCAGGACATACTTTACAATAAATAATTCATGAAACCTCATCTACTTGAAACCATATCTGTTTAAATAATTGTGGATGTTCTTATATATATACTTTTTCTCTTTTTTACATTAGAGTTTTTGCTGCTATCAGTTTTGCAGCACAAGCACTTGGTAGGACATCACATGTGGGACCAGAAATGAAGCATGCTTCATTGGCAGCTAACCGAATTTTTAAAATTCTCGATAGAAATTCTAAAATCCCTGTAGATGAAGGTTTATGTCCTGATCAGTCTATAAACAATGTTCCTATTGAATTCAGACAAGTATCATACAGATATCCATCTAGACCAACATCTTGGGTTTTAAAGGTAACTGATATATTTCAATAAGATAAAATTATAATTTTAATTATAAATTATGATTTATAGTTCACTAATATCATCAGTAGTAATCAAACTCTTTAAAATTTCTTGACTTTATAATGCGATTAGGGAATCCTCACCTGTAATATACGGCCGATACCGTATCTACCCATTGAATGTTATGTAGCTACACTAAAGATATCAAGCGGATATTACTACTGCTTACTCAGGTATGAGGTGTCTGATACATCAAGAAAGAAACGGGGTATTATCTCAGAGAATAATCATTTGAAAAGGATGATAACCTATGAAATACTTTTGCCCATTGCAACAATTGCCATCGAGCTTATTGGAGGCCCAAGTCTCTAGCGGACTGGACCTGGACTCAGTATTCACTGTGAAATAATCCTCTTAAGTCAATCGATATTCGTTTGTATTAGGTTGAACTAATTGGAGATATTCAACTTAAACGCATGTTATTTTGGTGTTTTCTGCATTACTGCTGCTCGCATACATTTTCTCACTAACCAACTCATGTCAGTCAACTCTAGATTATGTTTATTATTGTCCTAATATTCTACCTTATTATGTAGCTACGTTCCGTGCTGTTGGTCACCAGGCTAAGTACAACAATTTAGGAGCTTTATATTCTCCCTTTGACAAATTCTCTCAGGAACTTTGAGGCAAAAAAATAAGACGAGTTCCTCTGTCCACTCGGGAGACAATAATCCACAACACCTTTGTAAAATTTCGAAAAACTACTTGTCTACTCTGGTTGATATTTTCGGTAATAAGGCTCTTTACTGTTACAGAATCACAACTTTGTTTTCCTGTTCCTTTCTGACCTAAAACCATTAACTAGTTGTGTACTATTTCATGTACGACATAGCAGTCTGGAAGAGTTACTTTTTCCTTGTTACTAATTGAAAGTCACTAAGAGCTTGCGCGATGATTCTTGCATTTCACGAGCCTATTTAACGTAGTCATTAAAAGAAGAGACCTTTTGACGACTCTTTTCACTAAGATCTTGACCAGTCATCCTCTACCGTAATAAAGGAGCGTTTCTTTAAGCTATCCTTTTCCAATTATCCTGAATATACAATCCTGTCTTTATAGAAAAATCTACCTTATTCAATAACTAATTTGTCCTGATCATATTGCCCCCAAACATTTGGTACACAATTCCCCGTCGTGAAACTGGATCGGGTGAAAGTGGTGATATGACTTCTCAAAATTGATGGATCTGCGATGCGAAAAAAAGACAAAACCTAAGACTCACATTTTATTGACAAAAAATCCAGTGTTTTAACATGGAACTGTGTAACTTTTCGTCCCACTAGGACTTTTCGTGGACATTCCAACCTCGTCAGAATACTGCTATTGTGGGGCTTTCTGGATCTGGTAAAACTAGTATATTATGTTTGATTCATCGCCTTTACGAAGCTGATAGTAGTAACTCATGTAGTGGGATATTTCTCAACGACATTAATATAAGAATGATTTCACCTAAGTGGATTCGCGAGCAGATTTGTGTTGTAAGTCAAGAACCACAACTTTTTAATCTTTCACTTATGGAAAACATCGCGTATGGGAACAATGCACATCCTGTAACGATGGATGAGATAACCGATGCTGCACGACGTGCAAATATTCATGAATTTATTATGACCCTACCACAAGTAAGTTACTATTGATTCTACCCAAGGTGTGAATTGATTATGTCGTGTAAAATCTACTTTTATCTTATTATCTGGTATAATTCCAAAGGTTTAATCGTCCCGGCAATAACATTGTCACAAAACACATGTTGATTGAATCATTGATACCTTACAAAACCATTTAGTACTCCTAATAGTTTACTGGTCGATTGTAACGCTGACTTTTAACTTCAGTCCTGTATTGCATTCTGTCATACTTTATGGCAGTGAAACATGGCCGGTAAGAGTAGAAGATATTCGTAGGTTACTAGTATTCGATCATAAATGCATTGCTCGTATATCCTGGCACCATCGAGTAAGTAACGCAGTTGTTAGGAAACGAATACTAGGTAAGGCTAGCAAACCGATTGATGAAGTAGTGAAACTTCATCAGTTGAGATGGCTTAGACATGTGTTACGTATACCCAACCACCGACTGCCCCGACGTGCGATGTTCAATGGTATAGGAGTAGGTTGGCAGTAGGCTAAGGGCGGCCAGACCAAAACATGGTACAAATCCATGAAGTCACTGACAAGTGGACTTCAGCCATGTTGGTAGGTGTAGACTACGTGGTTGGAGACCGCGAGATGATAGCAACCGATGGTTATAGAACCTGAATGACATGGCTCAATCGTTTGCAATGGCGCAGGTGCATCCACTCTTTGTGTTCTCTCAAATTCTTCATATCCCTTCTTTTTTCCTCTTCCCAAATTTATTTCACTGGATTATACTCCTTAAATAACATCTTCAAACCCTAATCTTTCCGATTACTGCTTATACTCTTACTACCTCTACCACTACGGGATTTGAATCGACAATTGTATCTGTGTGCTAATGTGGTATGGCAACTCGAACTGATGTACGTACGTACGTACGAAGTTCTACGTTGCTGATGACTGACTGATCGCATTCCAACGTATGGTCCTCCTAAAAGTGAAGTACCCTTAAGTTGATATAAAATGGATATATTAGACCCAAAATTCTGATGCCCGATGTCAGGAGTTCAAAAGTGAAGAAATCCTTACTATACTTGACTAAGTATTAAAACAGACGAATAACCGTAATTCTGTAACACATCGGTTAATACACTGCATAATTTCCTCTTCAGGGTTACAACACATTAGCTGGTCCGCGAGGTACACATATTTCTACGGGTCAGAGACAAAGAATTGCAATAGCGCGTGCCCTTGTGCGTAAACCGAAATTGCTACTTCTAGATGAAATTACTTCCGCAATGGACCCAGAGAACGAACGGTATATTCAAAATTTATTAACAGGACTATCACAGGACTATACATATCTACTAGTTACCCACAGACTACTCCCAACTACACAAGTCGACCAAATTTTGTTCATATCCAGAGGTAGGATTATCGAGTCTGGTTCATTTGATCAGCTAATACAATCTAAAGGAGCATTCTATGCATTGTTTCGTCCTGAAGAGACCAAACATACTTGATCTACGAAATTTCTTGTCTTCCTAAGCGGTAACAAACTCATAAATCTCAAACTATCAATTGAGCGGCCGAACTTCACTAGCACGTTTAATGAACAATAAAAAACAAAGTTTAAAGAATATTATGTATATTAAACCCACTCATTCTTTTAAATACAACAAGTACAGAAACAAACGTCTTTTTTATAAATGCTCTTTTAGGAGGTATAACATAATGAAGCTTAACACTAGTAAACAAAACGTTAGTTTTTTCGCACAGAAAACAAAGTATTGGCGCATTAGCGATAAACATTATTGCCAACAATAGTTCATTTGGAAGCTTGATTTTGGGGGTATTGTCTACACAACTCCGGCCCCACGAATCAGTATTATAGCTAAGTGATCATCTTTACCATAATCTTTCTCTAGTTGCGGAGCACTTTCACGCAAGAGATTCAAAGCAAAATCACATGGTGGGAATGCATACAGCACCCCAGATGTAGTTTCTGCAGTTAAAGGGGATGAAGAATCGTTTGAGTTTTGGCCACCAGGATTTAAAAGAACCACTCCTGCGGAGTCTTTTGCACGTAAATATCCGATTAGATTTCGAAGCGGTCTTTGCGGTTGCTTATCGCCATCTCCAACTTCACTGCATAAAACCGAATGTGGAGGTACAGCCAAAAGAATGCAAAACCCAGAGGAACCAGCTGTCTGAATGCGCTGATTCACGTCATCTAACTTCACTGGATCTAGTCTCATTCGTTGAGTAATACGTAAACAAACTACCTGGTCTTTGTTTGTACAACTACTTTTAGCGCTACCATGTGCATCATCCTGAGATTCACTAGAATCAATGTCATCCAGTGACGTATGTTTATCTTTGTTCGACTTCTTACCTGCATGCCGAGTTTCGTTTGAATGCGCAGATGCTTCTGAATTAAATCCCTGGTACATAAACTGATCAACAAGGCTTTTGTCACCTCTCAAAATGTGCATTCTGCACTGAAAACTACTCGACTTGAGATAAAATGCTCCATCCCATGCCGAAGGAAGGCAAGATGCCAACTGTTCTACGTTTGTGGATGTTTCTAATGTGGGTGATCTCGAGGAAGAAGATGAATATCTGCGAGATTTCGATGATGAAGGAGAACGTGAAACAAAACGCGTCGAGTCAGCATCAGGACTAAGTGATTGATCTCTTAGACTACGTTTAGGCGCCCTCTCATGTGTAGTTTTTCTAGATCTATGGCCAGATTCTCGCCTATGACTTGACGAAGCAGAATGACTTCGGTCACTATCAGCATACGTCTTTCGGTCGCGTTTGTATTTTGAGTAATGATTATTACGAGAGTAGGCATTGTCTGAAAAAGAATCTTCACGTTTTATTCGAGGTGTCAGTGATCTTCTGGATGAGTAGTGCCTGGGACTTGATTCTGTGGACGAATTTCTTTTCAACCGTTTCCAATTAGGATCTCTAAACATATGTGACTCATCAGTGAAGTCCACTCGGATCCGTTTATGACTTTTTCCTAACGGATATCCACGTAAAAGATCAGCTGCAACAGCTGCAGACTCGCTATCACAATAAAGAATATGAGCATAGTTTTTACCAGACGGCCAGATAATTTTCTCAGGTGCGCTGATACTATTAACAAGGGTTGCGAACTCAGGATAATTTGTCCATGGACCCAATCCACCAACCCATAGGCATCGTGTGGGAATAACTTTCCCATAACCAATTTTGAATCTGTATTCACCTATCATTTGTCCAGATAAATTAACTTTTGCGCGGTGTGCCATGTCTAGACTAAGATATCGAACAAAAGCGAATGCGGTTGCTCCAGTTTCTAGTTCACGGCGCTTAATATCAATATCTTCAATTATACCATAACGTTCGAAAAGCTTCCTCAGTTCAGGTTCCTCGACATCTGGTGGCAAATTACCCAGAAATAATGTTCTTGTTGCATTAGGATCATCCTCGGGATTGCGATGTTCTACTGGACGAGCGTAACGAGCATTGAAAATGCTAAGCATATCTTTTTCCTTACTAGTTGTTTTTCGACGACTGCTTCTTGAATCTTCACCTGTATACCTATCACTGGAACTCCGCGGAGGTCTGTGTGACGATGAACCATGATGATCACGACCAGTTCGAGTAGCAGATGCAAGTGCTTTGGTTATATGTGACATTTGTTTGCTCGATATTACACCTCCGGCACCTAATGCTGCAGCCATTGCGGCTGCGTTCATCGCAGCTGCGGCTACCGCCGCAACCGTTGCAGATGAACCCCGTTTGGACCCAAGAGGAATTGGAAGGTTTGGTAATTTCCCTGATGATGCAAGACTTGCTGCCAACATAGGATTAACTCGATTGGAAGAATTAACCAATGACTTTGACGAATGGCTAGATAGTCGATCACTTGATGGCGCATAGGATTTCCTTGAACTTGAGTAGTCACTGAAATAGCATGAAAAAAAAATCAAGCAAATATGAGTCTAAATGTAAAATCAACTGGATGACAGCACTTGTCAATATAACTCGGTGGTTCAACATTTAGTTTAAAATAATTTAGTATGTGACCTGTATAAAATGTCCTTCACTGAAAAAATTTGATAAACAAAGCATGAAGTTTGTGAGGTTTATAAACATCCTTGTCCAAAAACAAGGTCCCTACTAAACAGTTTCACTCTATTGATAAAACATAAAACTTAGTCACGCTACATCGAGTTGAACCGAAAGGTTTATGGTGAGTACAGTCGCAAGATATACATCTATAAAATAATATTACACATCACAAACTAACTCTTATAAAGAAATAGTAAGTCGATGGTTATAGTTAGAACTGCAAAAGTTGAGTGTCATTTTGAAGTTAAATAAGGCCATTCATAAGTTATGTTGAACTGAAACGAATAAAAAGTTAATGAACAGTATCCCATCTTGCAGAATTAAACGGTCATTAGTTTAGGAAACTGACTTACTTTAACTTTACCTATCTCCATCAATTTTGTAAACAGTTTGACTTTCGAAATCCCCGATAGTACTGACTGTAAAACAATGATCAAAATCTACATTTCATGCACTATTTGAGTTTCAAACAGTGTCATGTCGAAATGAATCATTTGGTTGAATAGTTCAGCATTTCAAAATGATACAGTCGTAACATAATTTTTGAGGAACTGCCTCCATATTTTCAGTACAAAAAAATTCTTAGATAATTTTATAAGAAACACCCTTCTAGGATCGAAGATCCTGACGTTCTACATTGTAAGTCATAGTTATTAATTTAAATTGTTTCACTAAGGAATGCATTCCCACAAAACAACAATTAAACACTATGAAGAACTTCAGAACTGTATTTATTGAAATAATCTAGTAAGTTAATAAGTTGAGGCATTCACAAAGCACACAAATCACTGCATCACATAAGAAATAGTTGTAAGACTACTGATTGAAGTTTTAGTCGATTGGAAGCACTAGTCGGACTTCGACTGAAATTTCGGTTGCTGAGATTCCCTATGCTTCATGGTACCCATTAATAAAGGAAAAACTAGACGTTTTATCACTACTCTAAAGCATCTACAATGAAACAATATTTTGCTTATTATATTAACAACTTAATTTATAACTTATTAGTAGCTCGACTGTTTAATAGGAACTGTAGTTTATCTTAGTATATCTATAGTTTACAATATCTACATCTTTTTTAAGTGTAAAAATGACCATTTAGGTGCTTATCTATCATCTTTATATACATTAAAACTCATCGGAAAATAAGTCAATCAGTCAGCTACAACGTAGGACCAGGCACATGTACATCGGTCGAAGTTGCCATACCTCATTAGCACTGCAAGATGAACACCGGCTTCACAGGAGTGGTTAAGTCAATGGTGGTAATATATGAAGGAAAGATTGCATTTAAGGATATAGTATAGGAAGATGGGATTAGTTCGTAGAATGAAAGATATGAAGCAAATTCAATCTCACAGTTTAAGGGAAGAAATAGGGTCCATACACCTACGCCATTGTGATCGATTCTGAGCCATGTCACCAAGAGTCTCCAACCATTGGTTACGATAGTCACGCGGACCCCAACCAAGTAGTCTGCATCTACCAACAAGGCTCGGACCAGACGTTAGTGTCTTCAAGCACTGATGCCACTTTTTGGTTTGGCCTCACCTAACTTTCTTCCAACCATCCCCAACACCGACTAGCATTGCACATCGTGGTAATCAGTGTTCAGGCATACGCAACACGTGGCACAACCATCTCAGTCAATGAGGATTCACAACCTCACCAACTGATTTACCATCATTCCCTAATACCCTGGGTCTAACCTCATTATTAATTTACTGGTGATCCCAGCAGGTGCGAGCAATATTTCTAAGACATCTGTGGTCAAATACTAGTAGCTTACGAGTATCTTCAACTCTTAATGACCACGTTTCGCAGCCGTAAGGTAGAACAGAATGAACTGCCGCGCAGTAAACTCGTCCCTTAATTGATAGACGTAAGTTGGAAAAGGCCAAGCGAGCTTTTTGAATCCATGCTGAGATTTCGTCAGATACCAACCCATCGCAAAATAAAAAGATAGCTTTTCCAGCCTCAAATCATAAAAAACAGACCACCATACCGAACATGGGTAGACAATCACCAAGTCATTTCCGACAAGTTAACACATGAAAATGACTCACTGTAGGTCCACATTTTTGTGTACACAACACAACAACCATCCAAAGTTACCAATTTTTATTTATTCATTTGAACAAAAATATTGGTACAAAGGGGCACCGAATACATATGCGCCACACAACTCACTCGATTTGTGTGTGGGTTGCCTGAGTGCCCAAACCGAAGCAGGTGGTTTCCTGAGGGGGGAAACCCGGAGCCTTTGACCTAAAGGTCCGATCCGTAAGGCAGTGGACCAACGTGAGGAAATACATCCCCATGGTAGCCGGTGTCCAACAATAGGTTCATGAACCATTTGTTCCTTCAGAACACTGAAGCCCATGTGACGGTTGGTCTGGAATAAGGGTTTTCCAGCTCACCTAAATGGACCCTCCGTGACCACCATCCCGGTTAAAGCGCCGGACATTCGCTTTTCTTCCTCTTTACACAAACAACACCACGAGGAGGCAATGAGCAGAGCTTCACTGGCAGTGGTAGTACACACGCAGCCATGTGAGAGCATTTCCAGAGGGAGAGATGACTACACACCCTCGGTCGTACCAGGACATAAGTTTAATACCCATCTACTTAGACAGTCAATGAAGAAATAGACTGTGAATGGTTCTAGAAACTGAAGTGGTTTGACAAGACATTATCTCCAACCTTATGACAAGAATCCTAACAAAAACACCACACAGCGGATCATATGGATGTGCTAAGCGTTTAGTTCGGTAAATGAGACAGAGATTAGTAGTGACAATGAATAGAAGTGAGAGGTTAGCTTGATTAGGTACCTTAGGGCTTTTATAACTCGCTTTCAAGCAAAGAGTATGAATTAACTGCGTATTGAACAAATTACAAAATTACCATAAAGGAACTTACTGAAACTGGACAACCAAAATATTCTCCAGATGTTATAAGTGCATCTTTTGAATTCTGAATGCTTCTTACAGAACTTTCGTCGATCATTTTAAAAATCAGTTATAATCTTAGTACTTGTGGACACCATGTGCACATTATTTTGCTGAGATACATTTTATTTATTCTTCACTAAAATTGAGACTATCTATGAAATTACTTGTTAGCTAAACTGGACCAGCAATACGAGGTGGATATTAGATAGTGGATAATTTCAAATGATATTGCAAATGCCTTAAGTCGATTCGGACAACTGTGCAGATTAGTTGAGATAAATGCAGGACAAGCATTTCATATGAGTGATAGCATAAGGATGTAGGTTTTCATGATCATATGTTCTGCAGGAGCAATCTCATTAAGAAAACTTGATATTCATTTTAATCAAAAGATTTTACATGACAAAAAAACTTCATTTTTGGCGAATGTGGCCTACACTTAGGCGGACGCATTTTAGCAAACATGGTCGAGTTAATTTAAATGCCCGAAATATCTTCTCGATTTTTAAAATTAAAAAGCCTGAATATGGATGAGAACATATCATTCCAGGTATCTCAATTTAATATATATGAAATGCAATTTGCTCCTCTCCATTACGAATTGAAGTAACAAGATGTCATTTGAGCAATTTTAAATGCATTCAATGTATGGATCGTTAATATCCATCACTCCGACAAGAATGACTGTAGCTGCTACAAGGCGAAAATCTGCTCCACTGTCATAAGTAAAAGACATAATTGCTTAAGAAGTGCTCCACCATAGAAAAATTAAAACCCATAATGAGGACAAAACTTATGTACTATGCATGATGAATATGAAAGTGACATTGGGATTGTAATACAACAAATAAATGATACAATAGCGACTGCAAAATGAGTGAACCACATAAATACGTAATGGCATGAAATATGAACAATGATGACCGAAATCCAAAGTGTTAGCAACAGGTACTAACACGATTGAGTACTCGGAACAACTCACGCAAACTAGATACACCATTTATAAATTACCTGTGGGGGTTAAATGAGCGGCTGGAATTGTTGCTACTGACAAACTTTGCTGCAGGATTAGGTCGAAGTAAGAATGTTTGTCTCGAACCTTGTTGGTCATATTTATCAACTGATCTGTCTTCGCGTGAAGGACGTCTCAATAGAGCCTTTCGTGGAGGACTTTTGTACTTCTTCGGAGAGTTGATGCACCCGTTGGTACCTTCCTCGTCCGATACACTAGGGGCACGGGCCTTCTTGCTGCGAGAAGCCGAGTCCTCTCTATGATGCCTCTTCATACTATGGCAGAAATTTCGAATATAGAATTACTACCTCCATGATGATTCAACTTCCAATTCTTTGGCATTTCACTGACGTTATTCGAAGTAGGTAATCTTATTTTACGACAAAAAGTTGGATTGAGAAACGATTTCGACTATTTTTTGACATTACTGCTCTGTTTATTTGGGAGTAATGTTTCAAACGGTTGAGTGCGTCAGCTTTACAGGACAATCTACAACAGGTTTATTGGGAAATTCACACTCAACTTGATGTGGATGCTCATTGGGATTTTTTATTGCATGCGATCTTATGTGCTACAGAGCGGTCTGTTCAGCAAATTATCCCCGAAATCTACAAACAACTTAAAATCATCATGAATCTCACACTTCATTTACTAAGCTGTAAAAGGCACTGTTGGGTTGAATACAAAAGAACTGGTAACAACGGCGCGTACATGCAATACAAACATATAAGGGACATATACACAAAAGCAATGAGAAAAGACAGGCTTCAGTACCAGATAAAGATCATCGATAAATTTGTCTCCAATGCGAAAAGTTTATTCCGTTATTCAGTTTCTGTTTGAGAAGTCAAAACTGGATTTTCCCAACTGCTAGGTCCTAATGGCCCAACCGATAACGAGGATGACGCCACTAATCTTTCGGCTGAACAATATTCTTAGACATGTCAACCAACCTACACTAACTATATTGATCAAAGCTTCATCTGCAATTGCACAGGATATTCCAAAGTGAACCTGAGCGCTGACTTGGTGTACCGGAAACTGAAGCACCTGAGAAAAGACGTGGTTCATTCTGCTAAACTAAGAGAAGCAGCTTCAATCCTGGCAACACCGCTTAGTGTGATGTTCTCACACTCGCTAAGCCGAGGCAAACAACCGGATATTTGGAAGCTAACTCACATCACAGTGTAGCGGTAAATAAATCCCCCAAATAAATAGCTCTGTAAGTCTTCGATGCTGACCACATTCTTTTTATTGGACTCACCTGGCTGAAGACGCTCGGTCATGCATTCGAACCAGATCACGAGTGGGAACTCCGTGCTCAATATCCCCTGCAATCGCTTACCAGTCTAGATCAGTCGATCCTCGATATATTGATAACCTACCAAATATATCTTCGAACCACCCCCGCTTCTGTCTTTGGATTTCACTTGGTGGGTACGATTCATAGTAGGTGTTACTGGTTAAGGCGTTGTCAAACTCCGAATACCTGTGGCATTTTCAACACCAATTTTCAAAGGAGGTCGATGCGGCGAACCTTCAAGCTACCGACCGGTGGCTCTTCTCTTCATACCTTCAAAAATCATAGTCCCTGATATGCGATGGTATGCATGACTATTTATTATCCTTAAACATTTTTCACCACAACAGTGTGGCTTCAGGTAGGGTCATTCCTGTATAACCAACATTCTGACCGCGGTGGACAGATGGATTACCATACTTGATCGCAAGGGGAAGGTTAGCGTCATTTACCTTGACTTCTTAAAAACTTTTGATAGGGTCAACCATGCATGTCTTATCAATAAGTTCAAACGATTAGACATCAAATTGCCTTTAGTTGACTGGCTCACTTTATATCTACAAAGTCGACATTTTAAGGTCAGGACCAACTTCACTTTCAGGCTATGGAATGTCCTAGTGGGGTCCCCCAGGGTCCAGCACTAGGACCTCTTGTTTCCTTGATTTATATAAACGTATCGTCCGGCTTATTACTTTTTGCTAACGATGTGAAACTTTGGAGGCAGAGATACGCAACCGAGAGGATATACTGGCACTTCAAGGGGATCTGACTCGACTTCATGATTGAGCAGATGATAATGGACTTACCTTTAACACTTCAAGCTGTAAAGCAGTCCATCTGAAACATGTTGCAGACTACAGACACAACTTAGGCGATTTCTCTCCTAGAAGTGTCCCAAGTTGAAAAAGATTTAGAAGTCCTGGTACCCTACGACTCGAAGTCTTACGCCAACGTGACAAAAATGCGTTTCGAACAAACCTTGCGCTGGTAACATTGAAGTGCATTTTAGACAGTTTAACGGGAGAACTTTCCATATAATCTTTGACAGTTTCATTCATACTCATTTAGAGTACGGAAACAGTATTTCCTCCCTTACTCCAGAAGGATAGGGACACTCTGGAGAGTATTCAACGGCGAGCCACGAAATCAGCTCGGGGACTCAAATTCAAGTCCAATGAAGAGCGCTCCCACTCACCAAGCATTTACCGGTTAGATTATAAGCGCCTTAAATGTGACTTTCTAATGGCTTATAGTATCCTTAACACTTCTGAACACTCCCTTAAACACCTACATAAGTTTAGCCCCAATACAAACCTAAGGGATAACACCCAGAAACTAGAGGCACAACACAGAAAGACGGACTGTAGACACAACTTTTAACCCTTAAGAGTTCTCAAATACTGCAATCCGCTGCCGCCCGAGCTAGTACAAGCTACTTCTCAAGGGTCCTTTAAGAGGAGACTTGACCTGTTCTTAAGGACTAAGGATAATATCTCACTATGATTTACCAACTTCCTTTCCCTCTGTTATTGTTAGCATACCTAGATTCCTGCCCAGAGATATTGGTGATCCACTGCTACTAGACACGGAAGCTCGTTAAGCGAAAGCTTCTTCTCTTTCGTCCACAACCATTTGAACCATTCGAATTTTTCTGAACTCTCATGACCCTTATTTTATCATTGAAACTATGATGTTAGGTTCACTCACAGACGTTTTGACGTTTTTTCTTCGTAAAATTTGTTATCCCTTACTCCAAAACGAACTCGACTGAATCTGAACACAATTATCAAACTTGTGAACCTGGTGAGGTAAGTGGGTCAGGTTCAGATTTGTGTAGTAAGGACAGAGGGCCCACAGTCTATGTCAGTCCTTTTCTGGTAAGCTTCTGTGAGTGTTTAGTCTTCTTTAGAACGAATCAATTGAATTTACCGACACCAGTGCCTAGGGTAACAATTTCCAAGAATTAACGACTCAGTGTGAAAACGGGCATTTTGTTTATTCTTGGTTTTCCTACTTGTCAGCTATGTTCTCTGATCGAAAGAGAAAAAGAGGATGTGTCAGGTTCAAAATCTTTTCTTAGTATTATACAGACCAACATCAGATTACCTCTTGATCTGTGGCAGGACAAAGTAATGAGTTCCAGCTTTTCAGGCCGCTCTTTGTATGGCAAACCCCAGAGTTTTGAAATTGTACAGCTAGCTGGCCTTTATACTTTTTCCTGGTTATGCGATTCACCTTTTAAACAGTATCTTGCAGCCTGAACGCAGTTTTCAAGCTTAGTTCTCACTAGGTTTGTGTGCACTGTAGTAAATACGATAATATCTAACTTGGTGAATGTCCGTCTTAAAGCCTACAAGGTTTTGAACCCATTAACTTGAACCTCCGGCAGTGGGCAGTGATCTTAAGATCATGACTCACTATCATCTCAAGATCCTTATGAAACCGAACTACCTATTTACCTTTGTATCCCCAACGTGTATGTAGACGTACTTTGCCGCGTTGATAGGCATCAGCCTTTTTAAGACTAGCTAGTCATAATATTTAATTGTGCCTGAAGTGCGCGTGCATCTGCGTCTCCCGATAATTCCCTCCAGATTCTAACATCATCAGTGTATAATAACAACATATTTAGTTAAAGGTCTTAAATTCGATTAGTGCGGTTTCATTCCATAAACTTAACACACATATATGGTCCGCATAAGTTGAATTGCAATTTTATTTCCAAAAGATTCCCTGAGGACTCGAAGTGTTTCTTTGTGCGTGGAATGTTACCCATTGAAGTTGAAACGGTAGTAGTTTTAGGTTGTGAAGATAATACCCCACTGTCTGTAGTTTATAGTACGTTAAAACACAATTAGCCAATGAACCACCACTTCAGAAAAGAAATGACTATGAATTAGTGCTAAGTGAAATATTAAGCCATAAAACTTCTATTTTGAGAAACTCGTATGATTTATGGCAACGTAGTTATACGGTTAGTGTACTGTGATAATGTCACAAGATTTGCTGGAATCATTTCAGACAATTCACGAATTCCAATAGAATATATTAATATGACAAGTGTACATGAAAACAACTTTCAAATGCACGTCGATATGAAGTATGAAAAGCAAAGTTGAAAAATTAGATTTAAAGTTTAAGAGATTGTTTGTGGAGCTACTGTTTAGGAAATGACAAAGATAAGGTAGTCATTTATAAGAGGTTGTTGTGACTAGCTCGTGATATTCAGAAGAATTTAACGTTGAAAATAAAGGCAGATAAGCTGTATCCGGTTAATACCGAAGTAAAGATGCCTTGTCTGGGAATAACGCGGTAATATAGTGTCCTATGAGGTCTATAAATATGTCTCATGTAGACACAAGGTCATCAAAAGAAACGTTTCTATGAAAATATACTTGTCTAAATGAATGTAAAATTTCTCGACCGATTGATTCAATATAAATTCAAAAGCGATCCAGATAAATGTATGCTGTCCCCGGAGTGGACAATCTAAAAAGGGCTTAAGACTGCAGAAACTTTACAGTTCAAACTGACTACAAGTTTCTCATGTAATGTATTTTCTCCCTGACAATGAAACTCGATAACCGTACATTTGCCAACCAGAGGTCGAAAAAACTAAGAAGACAGTCCATGGTTTAAAAAAGGGTAGAACGCATAGTAAAGAAATGAGATGAAGAGTCTATTCCAGATAGCTGTTTAATCCATGCTCTCATTAAGCATCGACCGATGTGTAGTTACGACTATAAGCCTCTATATTTGCTGGTGACTAATATTTTTTAAAAACTAATCACACTGTGGCGTTCAAATCCTGCTAAGGCCTGTCGATGAACCATAATATTAAATTATTGCTATAGCCGACTAGTTATTTATAATGACCAAGAAAGTAAGCTGGTTTTGAATTCTGATTAATGTAACAGTTATCTAAAATCGGTAAAAGAGCAACACAAAGAGACTATTCAGTATCATAACCTTCA